CAGTCAAAGTATATTTTATTTATAAAGTTTATCTCATGCAACACAATATTATTATCTATTTGATATAGGGTCATTTGGAAAGAAAGAAAACAATAGAATTTTTGAAGGGAAAGAAAATAATTTTGTTAATATCAAGGATAGATGGTTTCACTATTATGGTTCTATTGTTCTAGGACATAACCTTGATAACTTGGTTGATCTTGGTTCCGTTGTTGATATGCTTATTGACTTGTAAATCTTTTGTAAATGGGTAGCGCCAACACACCAATACATTTCTATACTTTTATTTAAAAAAATATATCTTATTTGATTTTCTATGCTGGTTGTGAATTCTTTTGTTCATTTTATTTAATATTAGTTGATCCAGATCTGAAGTAGCATTGATAGAAATGTTTTCTTTTGAGCAAGAATTTGATCTACTGTCAACCATAAATATTCCTCCTCTTACACTTCTTTATGTAAGGTTATAAACTGTTCTGTCTAAATACAACATGAGCCTCTAACGGTCTAGTTCTGGCAAATATGCAATTCTAGTGCACAAGCCATGACCTTATGGCTGTTGGCTTCTAGTTGGCACAAAAACTTAAAAACTAGCCCTGCAGAGAGTACCTTGGAGTGTTAACATTCAGATCTCTAGAAACAGTTACTATCCATTGTATGGCAGGGAATATTAAGTATCTGTGTGGAGAAGGGCTTAACTCTTTCATAGTCTGGATAATCTACTCTTTTGGCATGTAATCAGCTGTTGCAAATCTGTTGGTTCAGATTTGGATGTATATGTTTGGCTCTATCTTGCTGATCGTCTTGTTTGAATTCTTTCTTGGTAACAGAAGCAGTTGAAAACTGGCGAAGGGAAAAATTGAAAGAAGCCAAAGAGTCGGCTCTCGGAAGAGAGGGAATGAATTTAACTACTTTACAGGAGGAAGCTGGTAGTTGCCACTTAGACTGTCTAGCATTCGCATTTTTTACTGAATAGTTGATTTTAGAAACCTCGAGGCATTTTAATGTCACTGTTTAATAGTATTTTTGTGCTAATCAGTGTGAATGACCATTTTCTAGGAATGCTTGTCAGAGCCTTGGAGTCTGATTGGGCTGTGTTATCAGAAGATATTGGCTTTTGGATGCCTTCTGATATGAATAACCGAGAACATGATGATAAACCTGAGGATGAAGAAGAGCCTGGTATTTAATCAACTTTCCTTTACTTTCTCTTCCCCCTTTTCCTCTGTTCAGTGAACTGTAGTAACTTTGCCATGTTTAGACTTTACAACTGAACTCATTATCCTGTGCCTTTTCCCAGTTACTTCTTCTCTAGTGGTTAGAAAGGGCCATGAGTTTGTCTAATGTTTTAATGAGGTGTTCTTTTTCTTGTATAGAGGAAGTCTTAGCTGGCAGGCCCCTTCCACCTGAATGCCATGCCGAACTTCATACGGATTATGATGGTGCTGCTGTCAGATGGGGCCTTACTCACCATAAAGAAAGTGCTGCTGACTGTTGCCAGGCATGCTTAGATCAGGCAAAACGTGCTAAACCTGGTGAAATGAACTGCAACATATGGGTTTATTGCCCTTCTGAAACTGGCTGCTATTCTCCTGATATTTATCAACACAGATTTGGGGAATGCTGGTTGAAACATGTAAGCATTGGCTATCTATTCTTAAATCGTTCTCTCATATCTAGCAAAGAGTATTTTGTATATTGACTTCCACTCATCATTTGGACTTGGTGACTGGTGTAATATAATATTCTTGGTTTTGATGGTGAAAACTACAGGCGGAAAATCCCAGGCTGAACTTCAAGGATAGATATTCTGAGTCTTATAGAAACTCCCACCCAACATCTCCGGTGATTGTTCCATGGGTGTCTGGTGTTGTGACCAATTGAATGGGATTCTCAGTGAAATAGGCAATTGATTCGAACAACATTTTGACATATTATTGCATTAAAACTTCTTCAAGACATTCAAGAAGATGGATATACGAAGGAGTTTATGGCACTCTTTTACCTCCCACGAATTTTGAAGTTTGTTTATTCTGTTTTCCATGTGGTGATCATTGGACAGGGGATGGTGTGACAAGTGTCAATCTCCTGTAGCCTGTTAATGGGTCAGCTGTTCTTTACATGAGGAAGCCTCTGGTTAAGGACGGAGAGAACCTTTCTTCTACGTTTAGATGGTAAAAGCATATTTTTTTTTTGGTTCTTCTGTGGGTTGTTTGAAAATGAGAAACCCGGATATGTTGTAACTCAATCACGTAGAAATGTGAATTTCTGAGCATTATTATCTGACTGGGTAATACGTGTGTGTGTGTGTGTGTGTATATATATATATATCTCTCGTTAATATGAGTTGTTAGCTCTTTATCTTGTTTGAATACAGTGGATAGAACAATATTTAAAATATTCATGTTCATATACAATTTTCTAAAATATTTTAATTTTCAACTTGTTTCCTTTATGAAAGACAGTAAATCTGTGTTTTAGATCCTTACGATTTGAGTCCATTCGCAACTCCGGATTAAAAAGATCCAATTTTAATTCAAACTTTGGAATATCAATTCATCCAACTCTCTGCATGTATGTATATATATATGTGAAATTTTTTGTATTGCTTTCTAAAATGAATAATTTTAAAAATTTATTGCTGACATATTATTAAATGTCTTTTTATATTTTTTAATCAAATAATAATTATTTAGATATTCTTCTTATAAATATGTAATGCTTAAATCATATATTTAAACAATTATTATATTAACGAAGGTTCGGTCTTTTTAATATTTTAGTAGGCTTTTTGTTAATTTCTCAAGTTAATCCCATGCACAGCATGGGTTAACTACATCACATCTTTTTACTTATAACTTTATTTAAATTTAAAAATAAAAGTAAAAAAAAATATTATCATTTTGCAAATATTATTATTTTTAACTATCTTATATTTTTATGGGTCAAGATATATAAATTTAAAAAGTAGAAGTTAAAAAACATTTTCCACATACTTTGAAAAAGAAGTTTCTGAAAAATATTTACTAGTTTTTTATTTTAATTACCTAAAAATTATGTTTATTTTTAAATAAATAAGAATTTCATGAAACTTGTTTGGTAATTAAAAATTAAAAAACCTGTTTCTAGAAAGAAATTATTAAAACATCCAAAGAATTGAAACTGTTTCAGGGAGTCAAAACAAAATCAAGCTTCTTACAAAATTGAAGTCATGAGTCATGCTTTTCTTAGCAGAGAGCAATACAACGAAGCATCAGACCACCATAAAAAGTAATGAGCTCAATCAACCACAATTTATCATTAACATTTGGAACGAAAAAAAAGAAAAAGAAAAAGGAAAGCAATTCACAGGTGATCATTAATGGTAATCTTAACGTCCGCATTGATGAATAGCCGAATATGAAGAGAACAAGAACCACAAGGGAGAACCAGTGATACTGGTAAAGCATCTGCTGTAGCTAAACATATCTCCCCGTCATCTCTCAATAATTTATATCCCAACTTACCCAACTCTAAAGAATCAGTACTGAAGTAATCGCCACATCGGCATTGGTAATAAAATTCTAACAATTCTCTACCATCCTCAATCATCATATCCTCTAAACTTACGTCTTCCGCAGTTATTGCATGCTGTCTTAGCGCTTGCAGCTCACTGTCATATAGTGCTCGAGACCTAGAGTTGCTGAGAACTTCCCAAGCCTTCTGTACTTTCAGAAATTTATCATCTGACTTGCGGTCAGCACGAGATTCCTCGGAATTCTTCTCTAATTTATCAGGATGAGAACTCAGGACAGCAGATCGATAACTTGCACGAATGTCTTCATAGCTTGCATCCTCTTTCACAGATAGAATATCGTAAAGGGTTTCCTGTATTGAGTTTCTACCAAGAAGCATTCTCGGACAATTGACTGCAGATAAATTTACTAGGTATAAATGTAAATCCAGAATAAAGAAGTGTGGCAAAAAGAAACATAAACTAATCACCCGGACAATGAAAAAGAAGTTTAGTCACTTAGGCTTTCTGAATGGATTAGGAATCATTTTTATTTCAAATCTGGTGTTTGTTGAATATCATAGTTGAATGGTATTATTACTTTATTTCCAGTTTCTACTCCTAATTAAAGTAGCATAAAGTTGGAGCCTATTTCTTTCATATTGAATAATACGCTATATCTACGGAAGGTGCGATGCAATCAAATCTTAACTATAATGCTTAACCAACAATACTTGTGATTCTGAGTTACTCAATTCTCTCTACAGAAATTTCAAATTGGTACCAAAGTCAAAATTCCTTCCTTCTATTACCAAATTCCGACTACAGAAATCCTGGTTATCCAACTCCAAGCAAATCTTGACCTCTTCTTCAAAACATAGAATCTCAAAAATTGAGATCCAACAATGAAACACATCAGCTTTCCTAAAAATCCAGCCACTAGGTAACATACCCTGCCAATCTTTTCCACCTCTAATTTCAACATCAAAGTTTGAAATCAAACCTCGATCTTATCTTTTTCTTTTTTTTCCAGGAAAAACTCATCAGCAACAAATAAAAATTATGGTGTTTGCAAAAAAGAGGGAATTATAATATCCAGTTGATGCAGCAAACAGTTAAGACAATGATGAATCAACTGAAGGACCGTATTTTGAACAACAACAACAACATGCGCAGGCAATAAATCAAGCACAACCATATCCAAAGCCGAAACCGTGCTCCACAAAATGGTATTTATTTCTAGAACGTTGCAACAAGTTTTTACTATATTGAACCCCATATCACTTTTTTCTTATTTGCCCTAAAAGATTTGTGATGGAGTTTGAACCATAGATATAAAGCTCACATAGAACATGTTTTGCCACTGAAGCTGCACAGCTTGGGAAATCTACCATCAGTATTTTGGGGCTCCAGTTGCACACAGAATACAAATTTCACATTATGCAATTTCAAAGAAAAAGTGATAAATATGGAAGTTAGCAAAAGAAACTAAAGAGCCAAAAAATCCATCAGTGAAGAATTCTACCATTACCAAGAACCCAAAGCCAAAAAACCGACAGATGATGGACAGGGTTGACTTAAAAGGATTTTGTGATAATGGCAATCAATTTAACTTGCTATAAAATTCTCAGTTTTGTGAGATGACAACACTCAAGAACGCCCTTATAAAACCCTTCTCAGAGAACCAGAACAACATTGTTAGACCATGTAAAACAGAAGTTGAGAAGTATTCAAATTCCAACAAAGACATTTGACGCACTAAACAGGTCTCTATCATTTCATATGGATGGTTGTCAAATCTCAATAGACAGGCCACTAGAAATGTAGGACTTGAAACCGGGTTTAAAATGCCTTTGGAAGAAAGTATGACCAGATTTTGAAGAACAAGATGAAGGCTGACAGACTCAAGAAACAGTTTAAATAACAAAAATATATTTAAACAGCCCCTTTAAACCCCCTTAGGATAATCATAATCCAGGTTTAGGAAACAATAGGTTGAAAACCCTAAATAGACGTGAAACTCCCCAAAAGAAATTGATATCTGCTTTTCGTTTTTAGGAAATAGTAAAGTGGTGAAACAAAATAGATTTAGTGCCTCCAAACAGATTTGGAAAGCCTTGAGATGGAAAAACTGAACATGTCATTTAAGCAAAGAAAAACAAAGCCAATACTGATTTGAAAGCCAAAGAGCATATAAATGTACATGAAGTAGATTACATGCAAAGAGCTCTAAGAGTGCAACAAGGAATTGAAAAGAAAACAAAAACGATGTCCAAAAATAACCAAAAGCATGGGACTCAAACGAGTAAATAGACTTGAAGTTCTAAAACGGCGGCCCAAAACATCAATAGAAACCAGATGAAAAAAATGTGCAGGATGAGTTTCTATTCCAACTCAAGACAGTGAAGTAGGTAACCAAACATCCCTTTTAATTCATCATTTCAACAAATGCTTTGATCAGATTATTAAGTTAAAATTCATCTTTCTTTCCACTTAAAACGGACATACTTCAGATAACAACCTCAATCAGATTACACCATAACTATTCCTTACATTCATCACACAGAAATGGATAACAAGACAATATTATGTTCAATCCCCTAAATTTAATTTAAATTACATTCTTTCGTTTAATTCAATCCACAGTTACAATCTAATATAAGATTTTCGAAGTCTTACCAAAGGGACCCAGATTGGAAATCCCTAGGTTGCTCAAATTTGGTGACCCTCTCGGCCCTCCTTTTCAGTTTTCTTCGTCCTTTTACTCGCCTTTCCTTTGCTCCGTCCACAACCCTCTCTCTGTCTTTCTGTTATGCAGCCTCTCCGTGTCTCCTCACTCTATTCTCACCTTCCTTTTCTGGTTTCCTTCTTCAAAATCCCCTTTTTCCTCCTCTTTCGCTGAATCCCAAACTCCTCTTTTCCATCAATTTCAGAAGCTAGGCTCGGCTTTGGAGTCTTCCCAACGGATTCCTCCCAAGGCCACTGCAAGGATTGTCGCCTGTACGTTGCACGTGACCCGAGCACGCGCACCTGTCTCCCTCGTCGTCTTCTCCGACTTCAAAACGTGTCCTTCTCCTTTATGCGCACCCCTATTTGTCTCTCTTTCCTCTGTGCTTCTGCAACACCACGGCAATTCTGCCTCTTGTCTTCTTCCTCAGAGTAGAAAATTCCAACATAGAAACCCAATAACCTCGCCCCCTGGGAAGACCAGAAGAAGGAATAACCTCCTTGATCTGGACGAGGTTATTTTCTCTTGGGCTGGGCTTGCAATTTGGGCCTGATAAATTTAAATTCTGAACCCATTGGATTCAGCGTAATCTAGGCAATAATTGGGTTTTGAATTGGGATGGAATGGGTTTTAGGTTTGGGTACAAGAGATTTATAGAAATACAAGAAATTTAAATTACAATATAATTTTCATTCATATTTTAACTTCGTTGGAATTATATTTTTGTTCCTATAATTTTGTGATAAAAATTTGAGATGCTTTAATAAAATTCGAAGGTAAGAAATACAAATATTCCAAAATCGCCTAATAATTTATTTATTTGGAAGTATTATTAGACCTGTAATATTTTCATAATTTTATATTTTTAAATTAATTTAAAATATTATCAGAACCATGAAAAATAATAATATCCTTTTTTTGGAAAAAAAAATGGGTTCCCTCATTGCTGGTTGGGGGGCAAGGCAGTGAATTGCCAATGGGTTCAGGGGAAGAAAACCGGAAATGGAGCGTGTTTGACGGGGTGAAGACCATCCCCTCAACGCCTGAATCTCTAATGGCAGAAATCAACACGGCCATTTCTAATCTCGAGTATGCTCGTGCTACTGCCTTCCTCGACTCTGCATCATCATCAAGGAACAAGGGTTCTGATACCGCTGCGACCCATCAATACGACACTCGAATGGCCGATGAGGCTTACAAGGCCGGCTGTGCCGCCTTGGCTGCCGGCAGGTTCGAAGAGGCTCTTCGATCGCTGAATCTTTCGCTGGCTAAATGTCCCCCTGATCGCACCTCTGCTGTTTCCAAGCTTCAGTCTCTCATCTCTCATGCATCGCTGCAGCTTCGGAGATCCTCCAAAAACAACCTCATTTAGATTGGTACTAATTTTTTAATTTGATTAAAGATGCTGTTAAGAATAATGTTTTCTTTTTTCAATTTCATCTTTTCAATAAATGAAATGCTAAAAAAAAAAAATAAGTTCAATGGTTACTCCTTCCAATGTAGTGAAGTTGTATGGGTTGCAGTTCTTCTGAGTATTTGGTAAAAGAGTCAGTTATAGAAATAATATAGTGGTGTAAATCTTTGTTCCTACAGTGGGTCTTGCTGCCTTTAATTTGAGTTGTATAAATTTTGTTTATTACTAGATTCCTTTTTTGGACCAATCATTTAACAATTCTGGATTGAATGATCATGTTGCTCCTCTCATTTCAGTGTGTTGTTTGGGCATCCAAACCAGATGGAATGTTATACTTTTGTTTTTGGTTTTTGCAAGAGGTTTGGGCATGAAATTTAGTTTGTGTAATTTTGGCAGGTCAGGGTGTTTGTTTTGTTTTGAAAGGGGACGGAGTATTGGTCTCCTGTAAGCCACTAGGCGTCCAGCCAATCAGCAAGCACTGCTATTTTTCTACACGCAAGAAGTCAATACCTTTTCATCCTCTGTTGGTAAATCATCCAAAAGGAGCAAATGGGTAACTGCCTGCAAGCACCCAGGGCCAGCAACACATGCCACTTTCTTCCATTCTTAAACTCGATCCAATCCTGCAGGGTGTAGTTTCGTAGAAAAAGAAAATAGTCAAGCTTGTAATAGACTAGGACATCCCACATTGTATTGCTGTTTGGAGCAATCTCAGACTGGACAGTGCTCCATTCAGTGAGCAACTAGACATGAGAGAGATGCCTTCATTGACTTTCAGCAGTAGTCGGTAAACATATCTTAGCTAGCAGCCACATGAACTGCATCACACATCTGAGGAGCCTTGCATTTTCAGGTTGTACTCTGCTCATGCTTCCCCTATATATTGGACCAGATAGGCAGACGCCATTTAGCTATATGCTGGCCTAACCAATTTATTCCGCTCATATCAACACATGCTATCCTGCATCCCTTCAATCTCTAAACAACATAGAGGTGAAAATGAAAGAACTGTTTCCTGGACTTTGTCCATCTCCATGAACTATCATTATTGTTGACATAATAATCTGGAATCAATGGTAATTTGCAGCTAAAGTTTATGCCTGTAGGAAGTTGTATCCGTGTCTTTCCTTTTCCTTATCTTCAGAAATCAACAAGCCTCAGAAACTCTTGTGATTGTTGGACCTAAACAAACTCATCGTGATTGGGGTTGCTTGCTTGCATAATGCTGTCAATATTTTGTGATTCTTTGCCTCGACAACCTACCATCTTTCTCCACCCCAAAAAATTTCCTTTTGAAGAGAGCAAATTCATGGAACAAGTATTTTCCTATCTCCATTTAAGCATCCTAGTGCCAGAGTCGTCGGCAAAAGTGGCAGGTTTTCTTTTTTTCGTTGTTGTTTTGGTCTGGACTGTGTTAGGTTCAAAGCCAATATAAAAATTTGAAGAGATGAATTGAATTCCTGATGACTGTCCGAAGCTAAACATATGTGCTAATTTTGAGCCTAGTTCCAAATCTCTAATGCTTACTAATTCACAGTTAAACTAGGCTGGCACCATTTCTATACTAGCTAATAATAATTCTTGCTGCTTATACTCTGTTGATTGAACCTGCTATTTGGTATTCTGTTGTAACTTTTAGTGATTCGTTAGTGGGTGTTTTGACAAGATAGTAACTGTAGGAAGGCTTGATACTGCTGTTTATATTGATGGGGATAAACACGGGATAGGAAAACTACCATGCTTTTTGTTTAAATTTGTCCATATTTCCATTTGTACCATGAACTATGAGGTAGTATATCTATTTTAAAAAAGTTCATACTTAGATAACTAGGGCTAAATGCATGTTTAAGGCTTCAATCCTTGCATAGATGAGTGATAGAGGGCCCAACATTTTTATTTTGTTGAATTAGCCTTAAACATGAAGGTAAAATTAGTATTTTCCGTGCAACATGTAAAAAAATAATAATAAAATGTGCAAGTCTAAATTAGTAGTTAATCCTTGAATTAAATATATTTGTGGGTTTGTGTTTTGTGGAACCCTTCATGATAAGGATATGTTATCAGTTTTGTGATTTTGAAGATTTGGTTTAAAGTAGGACGGAAAGAAGTTTATTATCAAGGGAAATTTAATTGGAAGATGGGGTTATAATGGTGGGCAAAGTAACTCCAGTAGATGAGTTACATTCCTTTATACAATTATTGCTAGTTGACCACATTTTTAGGACCACACCAACATTCTCTGGTGGAGAAGGTAAAAAAATAAAAAAGGTACTTACACTATAAGGGGAGGAGAAGAGAGAATATGATGAACTTAATTGATGTGAATAGTAGGCTGCTTTTTGTGTCAAATTGTTTTGTTGATTGAGGTAAGTAGATATACAATTGAATTTACATTAGAGAAAGACTGGATCCATGTATTGTTTCTTAATTCCGGTAAATTAATATTATCTGGGTTCTGTTGATTTATAAAATAGCAGTCATAATTTGGTATCAAGTCCTAAATCACCTTATCTTTTGCCCAAAGTAATGCTTTTATGCACGCATTTTCTGCTTATAAAGCTCACATCCTGAAAGTACCCAAGTGGAATTTACGGGCCACAAAATCTAAAGTGGAATTTGTTGAACTGTCTGTGTGTCATTATAGACTTTAACCCAAAGGACAGAAAGCTATTGTTTTCAATAAGCTGCAAGGCCTCTTTCAGTTTGAATATTGCAATATAAGATTATTTATGAACTAAGCAGTGTTGCAAATTCCAGGTCCCAGTTAGCGAGTTTCCAAGATGAGTGTGTTTTACCATGAGGAGCCACCACAGCAAGCTAAGAGATGCAAAAGCTTGAGCACGGCACTCAAGGATGTCTTTTCTCATTGCCAAATTTTCAACGGGAAAGTCTCGAATCCAGGTGCAAAGGAGGAGTATGCAGCAAGCGACTTTGACGATGAGCAGGAAGTTGTTAGCAGTCACAAAATTCCTTTGTAAGTACTAGTTTCATGTGTTGGGCGTTGTTAACGTTTTGATGATGTCTTCTGTAGGTGGTTGTTTCGGCCATTCGAATTGGAGCAATGGAGAAACTGAGGCGTAAACCGAGCCTCCTGAGAGACGGCTTTTCGTGGGTACTCTCTTCATCATCGGGGGAACTCTACATTTATCCAAATTCAAAAGAAGTTAAGCAGATGGAAGAGTGGGAAACTGAGGAATTCTTGTCAGTTGATAGTTGCTTTTCTCGCTGTTCCAGTTGCCTGAGCAGAGAAACATTTGTGTCGGTGAAGACAAATTTTCCTGTGTGTGTGAGCTCCGATAGAGATCTAAGGAAGAGAATGTCTATAATTCAAGAATTGTGTCATTGTGAAGGTTGGCCTTTTGGTCTCTGCCGGAAGGCTCTGTTGCTTCCTCCTCTGCCTAAATCTCCATCGGAGTCTTGGTTATGGCGTAAGCCCCCTGCAACTGCTAAGATGTCTTTTATTTACTACAATTCCTTCAAATAAGTTTTCTTAACATGTAATGTAAATAAAATTTTAATTTTGATTAACTTCTTACTACTGATTATAATTTTTTAATATATAATTTGCATATGACAAAATTGGAATCTAATCTTCTAACGTGGAACAAAAATGAGATGATTGATTTCAATTTATCATTTTGTATGGTATGCTAATTTGAAATTCTATTTTCAATATTTTTTACTTAGTTATAATTTATAACTGAGATTTATCTCTATATGTACTTAGTATAACTGTATAGGTTTAAATCTAATATAAATAATTAATTTATTAATTTCTACTGGTTTAGGTTTTTGCCAAAATTAATTGTAACTTATTATTTAATAATGTTAACAATATATATATTTAATAAAAGTTATTTACCAAGTGGAAATATTATTTTATAAATTATTCCTTTTCTGCAGAAAATAAATTATTGTTGCCACTATTTTGTTAATTTATAATTGTAAAAGTTAAAATCATTTTGTAAAAAAAAAAAAAAAATTATGATATTATTAGTTGTGTTATTAATTTATAAGTAGTATTTAATTATTAAAATATATAAATATTTAATGAAAAGCTTATAAAAATACAAGTATTCATTTGTTGAAAATGGTTCAATTGAAGTTAATTTCTATCTAATTTCACTTGAAAATTTTGCAACAAACTAAAAAAAAATAAAATTGGAATGAAATAGATCAATTATGTAACATCAATTTCTTATTGTCCAAGAAATGAGTCACAAGTTTGAACGTGTGAATATTTTATGCATGATCATATATATAATATATAGATATATTATCTTTCTTCAAAATTAAATTTCCTCCTCCAATAGTTGACCACAAACTTTTTTACAATGCTCTTATAGGAAAATAAAATTTATTTTTAAAGAATAAACTATAAAAATTAAATTTTGTACCCTACATATTTTAATAAGAAATGGTATTTTATTATTGTTTACGTGGTTGTTTATTAATAAAAAACGTTAAAATAATAATTTAATCTTTATTACTATTTATTTTTTTTTTTCAGATTAGTCAACATCTCAATTGTTGGTCAAATTAACTATTATACTTCTTAAAAAACTTTAGTTTATTCTCTTTTTGTTAATAGAAGTTAGCATTATTAACTTATGTATCATGTTTCAATGTAGATTAAGATTAAATGTTACATGTTAAATTTATTAATATGTGACACGTTATTATTAATTTAAATGTTACTTAAATATCACATAGCATTAAAATAATTTAAATATGAACCGGTTAAGATTGATACATAAATAAAACTCTAAAACGATGTAAGATATTTAAAAAAATTCAAATCCCTAATGAGCTAAATACTTAAATCCAAAGCCTTCTTTCTTTTCCTTCTTCTTATTCAACATCCATATTTTTTATTTTTCAATTAATTTACATCTTTCATTAATAAATATATATATATATATATTTTTGATATAATGAGTAGTAATTCTAGTTATTTGCTATTCAAGAATTCTTGTTTAAGTAACTCATACCATCCGCAAGTAGCTTTTTATATAAAATTTAAATTCTTTTATATTTAAGTAATAATATATAAAATTAAGGTCTAAATTATGAGTGAAACAATTAATTCTACGATTTTATCATGTAATTAATTTTATTTAGACTGATTAATTTATTTATTTTTAATTAATAAATCAATCTGAACTGATTTATATTTAATTTTTTTAACATTAAATTAGATTCTGTACGTCATCTAATATAACATCTAATTTCTATTTAGACAAATAAAAAAGTATCAACTATCAATAAATTTAGTATCCGGTGGTGCTTAGACTGAAATTGGTGTTAGAGAGTAATTTGAGCAAATTACAAAAGTAGATGAACTAAATAATTATCTTTAGCCATTAATGGAAAGTATTTCACTCCAATAAACAAAAAATCACTTCCTTAACATGAGGAGGCTGGCAGGAAAGTTACTAGGAAGGCGATGATTTAAGGGTTTGGTTGGTGGCTAAAAAAAAATTCCACAGTATAAGACCGATCTTCAACCTGCATATTATATAAAGAAATAAAGGAAGCAAATTTCGTCGGTCATCTTCTTTTGTCATAGTCAATTAAAGAAAGGAAAAGCCAAGGTTGTCGTCTGTGTCAGAAGTTAATCACTTCATCTCCGTCTTTCAAATGGGTTCAACTGAAAAGGAGGTATCCATGGAGGTGTTTCCTTACCTAAGGGTACTCAAAGATGGAAATATCGAGAGAATCGCAGGAACCGAAACCGTTCCTGCAGGTCTCGATTCACAAACCTCTGTTTTATCAAAAGACGTGGTCATCGTCCCAGAAACCGGAGTTTCCGCCCGGCTTTACCTCCCTCCCTCCGCCATAACCAACCAAAAGCTTCCTCTCGTTGTATATTTCCATGGTGGGGCATTTTGTATCGCAACAACATCTGAACCCAAGTACCATGCCTCTCTCAACAATCTAGTAGCCGAGGCAAACGTGGTTGTCGTCTCCGTCAATTATCGATTAGCACCAGAGCATCCTCTGCCGGCGGCGTATGACGACTCATGGGCTGCACTTCAGTGGGTGGCTTCCCACAACAAGGGACGTACTGGTCCGGACGACTGGCTCAATAACTACGTCGATTTCGATCGAGTGTTTTTGGCGGGTGACAGTGCCGGCGCAAACATCGCACACCACATGGGTTTTCGAGCGAAAGAGTGGAAAGCCGGTGAAGGGTTAAAATTCGCGGGGATGGGGATGATCCACCCTTATTTCTGGGGAACAGAGCCGATTGGTATGGAGATAAAAGACAGATTTAGAAAAGAAATGGTAGATGGGTGGTGGGAATTTGTTTGCCCGTCTGAAAAGGGATGTGATGATCCGTTGATTAACCCGTTTGTGGATGGAGCTCCGAGTTTGAAAGGATTGGAGTGTGAAGAGGTGTTGGTGATCGTTGCAGGGGAAGATATACTGAGGGAGAGAGGAAGAGTTTACTACGAGGAGTTGAAGAAGAGCGGATGGGAAGGGAGAGCAGAGATGGTAGAGACGGGTGGGAAAGATCACGTGTTTCATATTTTTGATCCCAACTGCGATGAAGCCAAGGCCTTAATCAAACGTCTGGCTTTATTCGTTAATCAAATTAAGCATGTCTGAAAATGGATTCATGTATCTTGTTTGGCAAAATGCTTTATGTACTAGACATGTGTGTCTGTGTTTTCTTACTCCTTTTGTTTCTTCAAAGTATGTGAAAGAGCACCTAAATATATTTGAACTAAAATTATATGCACATATGTGTGTAGAGACTTTTCGAAATCATCAATATATCTATAATTTTCAGAATTTTTATATTTGCCCGTATGATAATTAGTCCAACCTAGAAAAATGAATGAAATATTTCTATAACTATATATATATATATATAGATAGATATATATTAAGATATAATTTATATTATCTTATAATTAATGTATGTGTACAATCTAATTAATGAATCTGTACATTTATTTTTAAAAACTAATTGAAAAAAATAAAACAAATATAATTAAATATTTCATATGTTCTACAAACAATTTTCATGTTATTAACACAATTTAAATAACTTTTACAACACCAACACATGCATAGCCTTTCAAGCCCACATGTATTACAAGTCAAAATCTAGAATTCATATTAAGCTCGAGGTTCTCCAAGATATGAAAATCGCCGAAGTCAATACCTGAATCAAAGCCAAAAAAACAAAAAAAAAAGGTGGTGAAAAATGAAATTACAGGAGTAGATCAGATATTCGTATGCATATACGTATTTATATTATATGCAACAATGACATGACATAACATGACAAAACTACCATGAATTTTTAACTCAAAGGATGGGCACATGCATTGTGAGTTATAATCAAATACTGTCCTGTCATGCAGAGGGTCAGACTCGTTTCAACCCTTCACCCTGGAGAGAGTAAGACCTGTACAGAAAATATTACTTGAAAAATTAATTAAATAATTAAAAATAATTATCTCAATTACAAGATTGTGAGTGCTATACACTGAAAATATGAGAAGGAAACAAAAATTGCAGTAATTTTAGAATTAAATCTGCACATAAACGTTCCTGTTTTTATGACATTCATTTTAATCCAAATAAAGCGTTGTCTACATTCAGGGGAAACCAAAAAGAAGAAGTTGAGATGCCCATCCATCCGTTACTGGTTTACATAAAATTCCAACATAGAAAATAAGCTACAACAAATGGTCCTTTATGATGCAATTGAGAGAAAACAAACTCATATTAATGTAGAAAATGAATTTAGTACTGTCCTAGTTGAGAAGTACGACAATAAGTCCTCTAAAAAACCACAGTATCGAGCATAGTTCCCAAAGTCTGGATTATGTTGGATGACATCAAGTTAGAGACATGCTCTTCAAGGTGCTTCTTGGCATCTTGTCTCCCAACATTGGCAATTACCAACTTTTCTGGTGGCAATTCATCTTCCTCCTGCACTGCCTTGTTGTATTTGACGGCCAAGTTTAGCATCTCCTGCAGGTGGCAAAGACAAAAAAGAACAATGGATGTCAACCTTGCGCAGGACCATGTTTTGTGCATGGTTTCCATAATTAATAATTTTGATACATTAGTTCTGTCGGTAAAACCTCCCAGACTACTGAGTGATGTTGTTACATACATGAAGCCACAGGAAATATCCTACAACTGCACCATATCAAGTGGCAAGCCAGACAACCGTTATACAAGGTTCAAATATGGTGATTGAAGGCATGTAGCCTCTGTGTTTATTCAGTAAGATTATTAGATACAATCAAATAACTGCAACTTATTGTGGATATAAGCAAGGTGTGAATACCCTGGGCCATCACAGTCAAATCCAATTACTTACCACAGAGACCTCTCTATTCATAGGTATCTCATGCATTTGACATTGAAAGCCATTTCTTTTATCACACTCTGAAATGAGCCCCACTTGGTTTATTTGACTCATATCTCATTCCCCAAAATGAAGAAAGACGTCCACTTTAGGTTACCATCAAGTTAAAAAAATAAAACTTAAAGCTACCTGAACAGTCTGTTCATTTGTTTTCGAATGGGTGTCAAACCGACGTAGTGTCAATCCATCAGTCCATTTCTTCTTATGAAGGTTAAGCAGCATCTTTTCTTCAAGTTCATTCTTCCTGTAATTAATGGCTATTGAGTAATAATGCCTGTTCAATCCATGGATCAAGGCCTGAAAACCAAGTTAACAGTATCAGATAAACCATAAATTAACAGGAGATAAGCTAATAAGAAACCAGCGGAGGGAACATTCATTTAGCACTCACTTGAATTGATGGCTTATTAAGATGCCCAAGGTTTGATGTTGTCTGTCTTGGTTCTTGGCCAAGCATCATAGTTTGTGGGTTTATTAAACGGAATGCATCAATCACCACTTTTCCTTTAACACTCTGAATAGGATCTACCACAACTGCTACTGCTCGCTGATTCAAAGCTTCAAAACTCTGCAAGACAACATTAGATGTAAGCAAGAAGCAGCTTCAAAATATGAGAATTTTTATTTCTATCTTTCTCCTAAGAGAGACATACTCAAACAATGGTTAATCATCACGAGTCTTTATCGCTAAGACGGATAACAGTCAGCTGGAATGAGCAATTAGGATTAACATTCCGAAATACACAATAATGAGTTCCCACCATATTTTCTTTGACAAAACTCATATACTAAAAGCAATATAGGAAATAGCAAAACGTAAACTTCTATGAGATTCAAAAAGGATCTAGCAGGAAGTTCCAGAAAGCCTAAACAAGTGTGAGAATCGACGATAATGGAATAAAACTAAGCAACAAGCCTCAAAAACAGAAGGTAGGGATGAATGGAGTAGATTCAATATGATTTACTTGCTATTTCTACCCCACCTACTGAATGGAATAATCTCCAGCTTTAGCCTCTCTAAGAGAATAATGACCATGCATTCTGTCAAAACACACTATTACAAGCATCGTTCAGCTTCTGCATAGTTTTATGCGTAACCACAGCTCATTAATCCTAATATTGTACTTGTAGAACATAGGGACAACATATGCTAGACCACAAAATAATCACGTGTCCCACACGAGCCTTATATCCCTCGAATGGCTCCAATCATCAAGCCGCTGAACAGAACCCTAGACACATATCAGATGTTGCCAACAGTTTTTGCGTTTATGCTCTCTGGCTTTGTCTTTCCAGAAACTGACTATTGCAGTGAGTCTACTCTCAGAGGTAGGACCAACATTACCTTGGGTGTCGCGTTTTTACCAATTGTTAAAAAAAAAATTCTCAGCCCATATCAGCATCCACAATCAATTACAAGATGTAATTGTTAATGTGCAAGAATGCACTAACAATAATTAAAAAACTCTATGAACATCTCGATTCTCCTTTATTACAAAGGTAAGATCAGATAGAAATACTAAATGCTTGCATATTATTTTTTTTACTAGACAAAAATCATATTCCAAAATCTAGCTACATAAACACCCTAATGCGTATCTAAATAATTATGATGTTCATCTGCAAAGAGTACTAAGGCACCAGCTGATGTACTGTTTAATAATGGAGAACCATGGAAATTAATACAACCTGCTGAGTATTTATGTCAACACCAGAGAGCCAACAGCCAAATCCAGGATGAGAATGGTACCATCCTACCACCATTTCTGGTCTGCAAATCCATTTAACAGAATTGTTAATAGAAGTTAAAATGCACCAGGCAATGCGGATAACAACTTGGCATAACCGAAGTGTTTGCTAATGTAGAAAACCTGCAACGAAAACAAGTTTATGCTGATCCTGAAAGCACTGGACATCTAAAAATTCCACCACCCTCGATACAGCGGTAAACTTTTAAGGACATTGTGAAAGTCAAAACAAAAATATTGGTTACCTGAAAGCAAAAATCTTCTCTATGCACTAAAGGTGTCTATTGAAAGTTCAATCCAGTGTTTCAAATTGGTTAGAAACATAAACACATTACCATCTCGATTAATATCTTACCAGATTTATGGAGAAGAATTGGTGCAAGATAAGAAGTTTGGGTAGGTAGAAATCTAGATATTGCGAGGGTGAAGAGTTTATGCTTAAACTTTCTTCCAAATCAAGATTAGTTAAGACTTAAAGATAAGAGGTAGATGTCAAGTAAAGACCAAGAGTCCATTAAACAACACTCTCTTTCTTGGAACTTATAATATATGATCATATTCTTTTCAAAGCAGAAATATATTAACCTTGTTCTTGGAGAAGTTGTAACATATTTTTTCAAGCTTGATGTGTGAGAAATTTATGTCGCTTTTAATCAAAGTTAGAAGTAATCTTGCCTAGCTATAAGAAGTACTTGAATCCTAGATACCTTTACGTACCAAAAGAACAGAAACAAATAGAGCAAGGATGTATTACTAGACTATTAATTACGACACAAATAGTGATCCTAAAGACAGGTCAAATCAAACTTTGAACCAAAACTATGCACCAAGTCTACTCCATTCGAACCTAATTTAGTAGCTAGTTTATCTTGTACCTGAACCACAATCCAGACATATCGCACTTCAAGTAAATATGAGATATATAACAGCCTATACCACCAGAAGTCCAAATAAAATGGAAAAATATACATAGTTCCCAATGTTGAGCCTTATCTTTTACCATTGAAAAAAGGCCAAACTCAGATTCAAATCAAACTTAACTGTATTTTCCAAAAAAAAAAAATCAAACTCTCACCATACTATGAACCCCAACACCCCAATCAGCAGAGCAACAACCAACGTCCATTAGATAACAATTTTGCAAATGACAAGACAAATAGAGGATGGAATTCTATAGGGTAAAATCAGTGGAAAATATCATGAAGGAACTATCCACCTTAGCCATAAAAAAATTGACGCACTGAATGTCCATAAGCTAAACCAATTTTACATAAATCAAAGCAATAGATTACCTCCCGGTCTGTTTGAGCATATCAAGCATATTAGTCTGGAAAACATGGTCAACAGCTTCAACGCTAACACCAGTTCCACTTTGTGGCATCGCAAAAACATCAACAACACGAACTGTGTACTCGTCCACAAACTCTCCAAGCATCAAGCCCATAACTTCCATTGGCACCCCAGCCCTTCCTATAGAAAAGAATCAAGAAAGGGAAGAAAAAATAAGCAATAGACAGAGGAAAGTATCACACAAATCCCACAAACTTAAGCATATAGAAAGAACATTCTGAAAGAACTACATTAATCTCAACTAAAAACAACAAGAGTTGGAAAAAAAACAGCAGACTTTGCAATTAATAAGCATAAAAAGTAAAAAATTAGTACTTTGAAACCAATAATAAGGTCCAATCATTAAGAAACAAATAGGAACTGCTTGGGAAATCTTGTTTAGACTTTTCATTGCCAAAAATATAGATGAAATATAGATGAGTTCGACATCCTCAGAACTCAGAGATTTTGAAGATAATATCGTACTTCGGACAAATGGAAACAAAATAAGGTAGCCAATTAAAACTCCAATTAATAGTAAAAACGAAAGGAACAAAAGGTCCAAACTCCTGCATAACGTCTATTGCTCATACTAAACCAGAGCATATATGACAAACTGAAAGTGAAGTAACCCAACATCATTTATCTTCTAAAGAGCACTTTTTGATATCAGACGGGTCCGAATCCAGAAAAGGACTCTCTGATTTCAGCAATCTAAACGCGGAGAAGACCGAAGAGCAAAACTTAGTTAGGTAGAGGAAAAATAAAACCCTAAAAACCGAAATCTAGAAACAGGGGTGCGAGTAAAAACAGAAAGAGAGATGGAAAGAATCAATACCGTGCTTGAGCATTTTGAGAAGTGCAAGAGAGGAAATGTAGACCTGCTCCGAAGAATCTAGGGTAGGGGAGTCCGGTGGTGGATGGCCCAAGGCACCTCCAGCTCCGGCGAACATCCTCTGCAACCTCTCCATACCTGACATTCTAGCCCCTCGGCTTTCCTTTTTCGTTTATTTTCTTTTCTTGTTCTTTTTTCTATCTTCTCGCTAGCGGATCCTGATTTTTACGGGGTGTTTTCTTTGTCAGCACGATAACTTCTCCCAATTTAAACTGCGATTTTAAATAAGCCCTGCTTTAGACAATATTTACAATTTTGTCCTTGTATTTTCGAGAATTTATAAAATTCCCCACAAGTGAAAACCAGGCCCAGGGAAAGCCCAGTCCGGTCCAACAGGAAGCAAAAACAATTAAAAACACTTTTTGTTGCAGATTCTGCAGTGTTAAAATTACAATTAAATAAAAATTTAAAATTATTTTTATCGTTAAAATTTGATTTTAGTAAGTATAAATATATCTTTTAAAAAATATACTTTTTGCTTTTTTTTTTTTTTTCTCCCCCAAATATTGTTTTTAATAGAAGGAATTAGGCTTTTAATTAATTTAATTTTGATGTTTCAAATTAAGGCTTCTAATTAATTTATCTCATTGTTCAGACTCATCATAGTTGTATTGAGGTTATTTAATAGAAGGAATTTCAAATGTTCCTCTTGTAATCGAAAATGATTCCTCGAGAACTTCAATTTTTTGAAGTTCTAAAGTCTTAAAAAGTAAATACATTCTCAACCACAATAAAGTTATGAAATTTGCAAATTTTTTTTAGAAATATTACTTTGAGAAACATTTGAAAATAATTAGATAAAAAATATAATATATATTTATTTGAATGATAGATAAATATTACAACTTCATATTCATGTGGAGAGGTTAGAGGTGGACGATACTCTTTACACCCTAAGAATGAAATTTATTTTAAGATTTATAATTTATTTTAAAATTAGGATGATCACAACTCTATATCACGATATCTTTTAATTTTGAAAGAACCATAATGCGACATGGTATCAATAAAAACCCTGTTTAAAGGGTTATTTAATCAATATGAGAATCGTCTCAAGCGGTTACTTGAAATGTATTTTTTGGTGTTACCAAATTTGACCAAAAATTATTAGGAGGACCCACGAGTTGCTATCTTTAATTTCAATTTTCTCTCACAAACACAAATTGGTTGGCTAAGATCTTGACACAAAAGAAAAATTTTCATCGAAATCTTTTCGGCGATATATAATTTGCCACATGAATTTACCAAAATAATGTAATTGCTGTAGAAAAACGAAGTAAATCTTATGAAAAAAGAATCATCCAACTTTCAAAACATATATGTCAAACACAAGAAAATTAATTAATACCAATATAAATTTCAATTTTCCACGGTTAAATTCATTCTTCATCATTTCCTTTCCGTTCGTCAAGAGTTTTCTGTAAAATTTGTGTAAGAAAATAAATTTATAGTTAAGAATTTGATATTATGTTAGTTAATTAAATAATGATTGAAAAAATTATAATATTTTAATTAATTTATTTATATATTATTAAAATTTTTTATTTTTTTGTTATCGGTTGGTAAATACAATATTTTAATAAAAACAAATAGAAAAATATAATATGAGTCCAAAAAGTAACTACAACCTTTAATAAAAAGAAAAGAAATAATAAGACTAAAACAATGAATATTTGATTGTGTCAAAAGTAAAGGAAGTATAATATATAGTATCCTCCACAATATTATATTCCAGGACTTCAACTGCTTGTATCGCAGCCATCTTGATGTAACACACCACCTATACGTAGATCATAGAGCAATAAGTAATTAATTAGAAGCTTCCAATTTGATTTACACAAGACTCCTCGTTGGTGCGCATTTAGACACACTGCTGTTGCTTAATTTTGAATTGATCAAAGACTTGACAGCTCGTAGATTTCTTGTAGAAACGACTTATGGTAGCAGGTAGCTCTAGATTTTTTCAAATGCAACGCTCTAAGCTTAACGTATTGATTTTAGAAATTTAAGTGTAAGCCATTAAAAGTACATATAATCACTTTGAGTTACTATATATATATATGAAAGTTAATTTAGGTGGCATGCAACGTTCCCATATGTTCCATGTGTATAATGGTAATTAACTTGAGATGCATGCACAGGTAGAGTTTACACTTACTAATTCATCTTAATTGTTAAAGAAAATTAAGGGAAGTGGGTTTTGGAGGATTGTAGCAGTCAACAAAGGTATTGACGTGGTCCAAGTTGAACCGCGTGCAATTACTCTGGCTCGGAATGACTCCAGAACAAAAGCATCCAATCAAAATGAAATCCAATTGAGGAGGTTAATCGAGAAGGATAAAAGTCTTTGAGTAATAAATATATATTTTTTTCTTTTGGAAGACTTGACTTGACATAGTTCAAAATTAGAAGTTCCCTCTAGAAATATAGTATAAATACGGGGTATAGTTTGCTAAATTATAAGCAAATCATAATATAATAGTATTCTCGAGCATTTAAGTTGATAGTTTTGCTAGCTCGCTAAAAGAAAAAGTGTTTAGATCAGGTAATTTGGCATGGACTCTCCGAGATCGCCCATACAACCTCCAACTTACGGAAATCTGATTACTGTTCTTAGCATTGATGGTGGTGGGATTAGAGGGATTATCCCAGCAACTATTCTTGTCTTCTTGGAATCTCAGTTACAGGTAATATGTTGTAATGGCTTCACCTGGATTAATATTTATATACATTCATAATACACGCACTGCCTGTTTCTGATATATTAATATCTTGTTTGACGTGCATGTGCATGTACTAGAAACTGGACGGTGAGGAAGCAAGACTTGCAGACTATTTCGACGTGATAGCAGGGACTAGCACCGGTGGCTTAATCACAGCCATGCTCGGCGCTCCAAATGCCCAAAACCGCCCTCTGTTTGCTGCCAAAGATATTAAAAATTTTTACCTTGATCATTGTCCTATAATCTTTCCCCAAGATAGGTAATTAATTATCTGAATCACCCGCAAGATAAAAAGGTTATCATTTACGCTGTAATATAATATATACTATCATCATCCATCTGCATGGTCAGTTAATTTCCTGGTTTTTGTTTTATTCAATATCTATTTTATTTCTCAATATAGATAAGGTTATATATATACATATAGATAATTAATCTTCCGAGTTGCATTGCAGTTCTCCATTTGCACCTGCATCAAAATTGGTAAAGGCTCTAGTTGGACCAAATTACGATGGAAAATACCTACACGACCTTGTCAAGGAAAAATTAGGCCATACAAGATTGCATCAGACATTAACAAATGTTGTGATACCAACTTTTGACATCAAGCGCCTCCAGCCAACCATTTTCTCCTCTTATGAGGTCTATATATACATACATATATATATATATGACATTAGAGTTTTAAGTTATAAATTAGTAAATGAAATAAGAAACTTCAAAAAGAGAAACAAAGAAAAAACTGCTGACACAGTAGATACATGGGTTAATTCAGGTGAAACAAAACCCTTCCATAGATGCTCTGCTGTCAGATATATGCATCGGAACCTCTGCTGCCCCAACCTATCTCCCGGCCCATCAGTTCGAAATCAAAGACTCCACTGGCAGAGTAACAAGAGAATTCAATCTTATTGATGGTGGTGTTGCTGCTAATAATCCGGTACGTATGGATTTGTAATACATACATATGTGTTTGTGGATGTGTATGCACATAAAAATATCAAGGATGAAGTACTTGACTTGGTCTTAAACAGGCTCTGGTAGCCATGAACGAGGTGACGAAAGAGATAATGCGGGGAAGCCCAGATTTTTTCCCAATAAAAGCAAACGACTACTCTAGATTCATGGTCTTATCGCTGGGGACTGGGTCGCCTAAATTTGAAGACAAGTACGACGCTCATGATGCAGCCAAATGGGGCATGTTGGGTTGGTTGACGGGTCACGGTTCGGGTACTCCTTTGATTGATGTGTTTACTCACGCCAGCGCTGACATGGTGGATTTCCATCTTTCTACACTTTTTACAGCCCTCCACTCTCAGCACAATTATCTTCGCATCCAGGTTCTGCCATTTATGCACATACACACACTAAACTTACGATCTTAGTAGCTAGAGAATGAAAATGATTTCTAGCTATATATATATATATATACACACATAGAGAAGGTTGATTTATGGGTGATATGTACGGGAACACCATGCATGCAGGATGATAACCTGGTTGGTGATGTATCGTCAATGGATCTTGCGACTGAAGAAAACTTGAAAAATCTTGTGAAAGTGGGTGAGGATTTGTTGAAAAAACCAGTTACAACGGTGAATTTGGAGACTGGACATCTTGAACCCTATGAGAATTATCACGGAACAAATCAAGAGGCTCTTATAAGGTCCTTTATTTGTCTCTCTTTATCTACTTTGCCATATATACTCATTGAACTCAAGAGTTTTTTTTAATGTATACGTACACGTACATACACATGTATGCAGGTTAGCAGAAACACTCTCCAAAGAGAAGCGACTTCGAGACATGAGATCACCAATTGGAAGATTGGCTGCAGAAAACAAGTTCACAAATTAATTACATTTAATTAAAAGCTAAATTACTGGTTCCTTATTGATTAATTATTCCAGATTATCTGTTTTCGGTGTATATTTTTAGTTTTATAATGAGAAAGAATTATAAAGAAATAATTAAAAATGTTACTAGATTCAGATCGATATCCAAAAATCTCCAACTCTCATTGTAATGCACCATTTTGGTTTTCAATCTCTATTTGCATCACATTCTTACCAGCAATTCTATTCAATTTAGCGTTACCTACAGTCCTCTATCAAATATATATTGCGGTAATTGGAGTATATATACTAACTGTACCCTTTGCATGAAGTACTCTATAAAGGTATAACGTCATTAAAGAATCTATCACATACTTTGTTTGTCGTTTATATATATGTATATGTATAATTTTATTCGGAAAGGTAAAACTTATATGTACAGTTATGACAAATGAATTAATGATCCGATTTTAGTTGATTGCATAAATAGAAAAAGTAATAATTGTTAGAGTTATTGGGATTCAATTATGAAACGAAATTAATTTTGGGGGTAAGATACAAAATATAAAGAATTAGAGGTTCAAAATACAAATAAGAAAAGTTTAAAGTGCTGGACCATTGTAGATGGAGTTTTAAATAGTAGAAGGGGCTTCTAATAATAAGTAAAGGCGTAGTACATGAAGCCTTTGGTTTCTTCCTTGATCAATACACCCGTACGTACACCTACAGACACCACACACACACACACACACATATATATATATAGGCTACAAAACTGACTTCATCTTCTTCTTCAAGACTACTAAAGCTTTCCCAGATTCTTCTTCTTTCTCTTCCTCATCACCGCCATTCTCAATTCTCCTTCTCTTCTTCTTCATTGCCATTCTCACCGTAATTCCAGAATTTTCATTGTAAATCTGTATTTTTCTGCTCCTGATGCTCAAGGTCATTCTCGAATTTTCACGTTGCCGACTTTGATTTTTCAAATTACAAATTATTTTTAACAAAAATACAACTACATTTAATTTTCTAAGTATTTGCAAAACTGTTTTTGAGACTTCGATAAAGAAGATTTATAGATGGCTATACTTGGTAAGCGCTTTGAGGTAATTGAGTCTCATAATGTTTTTAGGTTTAACTTGACGGAGGTTGTTTTGAAAAAGTTCTGAAGTACTTCAGAAGTATAAGTGAATTAAAACGCCATAAGAAATATCATGAGTGAACACTCTAAACTTTATTTATTTATTTATTTTTTTTAATTTGAAGCTTCAAATGAATCAACCCCATTTCTTAGTTATAGAAAAGAAATTGAGAAAGGGGTTCTTCTTTTACTTTCCCAAGCTATATATATATATATATATACACACACATGTGTTCATTATTGAGGCAAGGACGTTTTCCCAATAATGAAATGTAGTTTATTGATTGATAAAGGTAGAAGCTTCAGTTAATGTACGGATTAATTGGAGATCAGTCCTTAATAAAAGCAAAAGGTGACAATGAACAAAACAAAGACATTGTTCAATTAATTAAGGGTTCATCTTTTCCGCCATTTTTCCATGTGGTGATCTCAAGTCCCGAAGCCTTTTCTCCTTGGAAAGTACCTCCGCCACACTACCACAACATTCAAAATTAGTGAATATTCAAATTAAGAAATTAAAATAACATACGTAAAATTATACATACATGGCGTATACATAAACTTATTTAAAAAGTATGTATGTTAAAGTGACAAAAAAAAACCTGATAAGTTCCTCCTCGTTGGTGTTATGATTAACAGGGTCAAAGGGACCAGTCTCCAAGCTCACCCTTGAAACTTGTTTCTTCAACAATTCCTCTCCAACTCTTACAAGATTCTCCAAATTGGCTTCTGTTGCGGTATCCACAGAGCACAAGTCCCCAGCCAGCGTATCATCCTGATCCATAGAATCAATTGCAAAATATGATCTTTTATATATTCAACCATAGAATTGTCTATTATACAGCAACGTGCTACATATATATATTTTTATGTTAGATACAAACATGCATATATACCTGAATACGAAGATAATTATCTCCACAGTTAAGGGCTCTAAAAACAGCGGAAAGGTGGAAATCAACCATGTCACTGCTGGCATCGGTAAACACATCGATCAAGGGAGAGGAATTGTCAGCTGCCAACCATCCTAATATGCCCCACTTAGCTGCGTTTTGAGCACTGTACTTGTCTTCATATTTACGCGAACCAGTCCCCAGCGACACCACCAGAAATCGTGTGTAATCGTTTGCATTTATAGTGAAAAAGTCCTGGCTTCCTCGGGTGATTTCTTTTGTCACCTCACCAATAGCAACAAGAGCCTAAAAAACCAAAAAACAGTTCTTAATTCACCGATTTTCAACACAAACATAAGATATATACACACAGAGAGATATATTACAGGATTGTTAGCAGCTACACCACCATCGATGAGATGGAATTCTTTTGATGTGCCCATAAAGTCTTTGGTCTCAAAGTGATGAGCTGGGAGATAAGTTGGGGCAGCAGAAGTTCCCAGACAAATATCCGACAGAAGAGCATCTATCTTTTGGTTCTTTTTCACCTGAAATATCACATATAAAGACCATTACTACTTACTATCAATTCTTTCACATGCACCCATAAGTGAAAAAAATCAGATAATATATATTGAGGATCAATCGACCTCGTACGAGGAGAAGATGATTGGCTGAAGGTTCTTGATGTCGAAAGTTGGTATGACAACATTTGTCAGAGTCTGGTGCAACCGTATTTCGCCTAACTTTTCCTTGGCAAGTTTGTGTAAGTACCTGCCGTTGTATCTTGGACCTGCTAGAGACTTGACCAACTTTGAAGCAGCTGAAAATGGGCAACTGCATGTGAAACGAAGAAGAGGAGAAAATACGTGCACATATCATCAGTTGTCCGTAGTGGCAGATAATATCCATAAGGAAGGATTTGACGGCGGTGATCCAGATAGAAGAAAAGGATTAAGGATATATTACCAGTTTTGGGGGAAGATTTTAGGACAATGATGAAGATAGAAGTCTTTAATATCCTTGGCCGCAAATAGAGGTCGGTTTTGGTCATCTGGAGCAGTTAGCATGGCAGTCACTAACCCACCAGTGCTAGTGCCTGCAACCACATCGAAGTAATCTGCAAGTCTTGCTTCCTCCCCGTCTAGCTTCTGCGTTAATAGATAGCAAAACAATTCCTCCATTAGTATCCATATATCACTTATAAGCTACGAGTTAACTAGGAGTAATATAAATGTATATCATATATGTATGTGTCAGAATCGCCTCTACGTGCATATAAAGAAATAATACCTGTAACTGAGACTCCAGGAAAGCAAGGACGATTCCTGGGATAATCCCTCTAATCCCACCACCGTCGATGCTAAGGACTGTGATTAGGTTTCCGAAAGTTGGAGGCTGTAATGGTGTTCTTGGAGTTTCCATCATAGAAATGAATGGTAGTAATAATGCAGCTGAAGATGTAGGTACAAAGAGTCAAGTTGACAGTACAGGAGTCTTTTGGTAACTTGAACACTTACGCAAGAAATCAGTGGTATTTATGGACAACATTTTTCATGATTTTCCACTTTCAATTTTTATTCAGTGTTTATCTTAATTTAATGGGGTTATCTCCGCCCACCAAGACAGGTTGGTGAACTCGTGATCATGGTTCAAGTCCCAATTGCTACATGTACAGTGATTTTTTCCTAGCTACCACAAAATTAGGTACCATGGTGAGAAAGGGAAAACAGAGAGAGAGAGAGAGATAGAGGTTATTCGTATGAATTCCTTGAGGACTTCCTTCAAGCTGCAGTCCTTTCTTGGATTTTTGGTCAGCTCCGCACAGCAAGAAGTCAGATCTGAGTTTAGAAATATTAAGATGTTGCGGTCGTGATGATTTAGGAAACAAGGAAATTAATTAATGGATCTATAAAGGAAATTGTCTAATTCTGATATTAGAGTATCAAATTATTTTTTTAAGTGCTCGTTTCATTTAACCAATGTAAATATTTTACATATTTTAAAACTTATGTTGTTTTTAAAAATTCTAGAGGAGCTCTAGAGTAGGAAGAAAAGGAGATTTGGGGATAGAAATACGAAACCCAGATGAATATTAATTAAATTCTATTTCATTGATGAAAAATACTCTTGATTTTTCTCTAACTTTGAAATAGGAAAAAATATTTTAACTTTCTTTAAGGTTATACTTGTATGGATCTATTTACCCTTCAAACAAACTTTTAGATGATATCAAGATTCAACTTACATTAGGAATTTGGCAGCCCTTGAAAGTATGTTTTGGACATTTTGATGTGCTAGCTTTCAGCCTTTTTGATTTTTTAGTTCACTAAATTCAGTATCGTCAACCTACTTTTTTTTTTTTCCTTTCTTTCTGAATCCTTTTGGATATGTGTGCTTTATATATATATATATATATATATATATATATATATATATATACTTTTTGTTTATCATTTAAAATATATGTTTCTAAAATAAATATTGAGAATTTAATAATGTTAATCTGAAATTGTTTTTCCAAGTCTTGCACCATATCTACTCTTAGGTTGAGTAGTCAGTAGAGTATATCTCAACTGCGACCTTCCCATGAATTTTGGAGTTAAAACTTTTTTGTCCCTCATAAAATATGTCATTGTTGGTCTGATTAGAGCTGGTACTAGGAAATTCATAATAAGGGCATTGTTGTGGAGAACTTTCTTCCCACTCCCAATATGCAAATTCATCAAAGATAATCTCAAGAAATTATGAACTCTTTGGTCTTTGGATTTACTAGACAATATCCTTTGAATTGTTTAACATAAGCAATGAAGATGTACTTCTCATATTTCTTTATCAAGTTTTTGTCTGTGCTATGAAGGACTATGAGAATAGGCAATGCATCCAAAGATATTAAGAAAAATTTACCTAGTTTTCATTTATGCTATGCTTTATAGTAAGTTTTATTATAAATCATTTAAGAAAACTAAAAAAACGTACTAATTATCATACTTGATAAGGTTTAAAGTAGTTGATTCTCATAAGGTTTCTTGGTTTAATAGATGAGTTATTTTAAAAAAATTCTAAAATACTGTAAATATAAATAAGTTAGGATATTATAATAAATACTACGAGTAATATACTTTAAGTATAAGTGAGTTAAAATGTACATTTTTCAGCTAATGAAAAAGAGAACGAATGTTTTTTTACAACTCATTCTCTCATTCGCCATTATCATATTTATCTTTTTATATATGATTGTGCGATTATCATTATAAAAAAATTAAAGATATAAATATTCATGTACGAAGATTTATTGAGACAATCACAACTTTTAAAATTTTAAATATATGAATAATGATTAAATGTAATTCATAAACTATAATTAAATCTAATGCATAAATAACCTAAGAACGCTATAAAAATATATTAATTATTATTTTTATAATATACTTTTAAATTAACTTCCTAATAAGATAAAAAATATAAAGATATCAAAATTTACAAATTGTTATTTTAAATAAAAACTTCAATAAAAATTTTTTCTACAGTTTCTAAAAAAAAAAATAATCATATTTGATAAAGGGTTTGAAGTAGTTGATTCTCATAAAGTTTCTAAATTTAGTCGATGAGTTATTTTAGAAGTACTCCTATAAGTGAAATAGGATGTCATAATAAATATGAATGATAATCTTATTAAAACTCATTCTCACTTTCACCGTTATCATTTTTCTCTTTTTATATGTGATTGTGTAGTTATCATTATAAAAATTAAAGGTACATACATCCATGTTGTAATATCCACCTAAAGAGAAAAAGAAACAAAAAGAGAAGAAAAGAAATATAAAAATAAAATAAAATTAGAGTTGTGATGTAAATGAAAGAATTTTTTAAATTTAGGAGGGTTTTTAGTTAATTCTAGGAATTTAAATGAAAGTAGAAAAGAAAAAATGAGGTAAAAACATAAATAAAGGAAAGTCGAATGGGGCAAAGAAAATCAAAAAAATAGACGGCATAGATTGGACTGTTTGAGGACATTGGATGAAGGAGATTTAAAAAGAGAACGGATGGCCCAGATCGAGTCAAAGATATCCGACGGTTGGAATGAATAGGTATAAAAAGAAAAAGTTTAAAGTTTTTCTTCATTGTGAGGACAACCGAAAAAGAGAGAGGATGAGAGAAAGGGGTGAGCCGACCAGGTGAGAGGGAAGAGAGGAGACTGTCGCACGGGGGGAAGTTGAGAGGAAGGAAAAAAGAGAGAAAAAGAAGGGAGAGTCTGGAAAGGAAGAGGAAAAGGGAGAATAAAAGAGAGGAAGGGAGGAAAAAAAGTGTAGCTGAGTGGGAAAAGGAGGAAAGCCGAGAACAGTTACATAAGGGGGAGGAGAAGAGAGAGAGTCGCAGAGGTGAAAAGCCGAAGAGAAGGGAAGGAAGGGGAATCGCGGCCGAGAAACATTGTGTGATGGCGAAATCCAAAATCGAGATTGTTCGAGTTTTTCGAGCATCGCACCCAAGCAAGGTGCATTTTTCCTCCTCTTTAGGTGTGTGTTTTGACCAAACAGGTATTCATGTGTGTGTGTGTGTGTGTGTGCAGGTTTGAGAGCTAGAAAACTGTAGGGTGATCGAGAGAAGGCGACCGGGAGCCAAATCAAAGCCGAACCACTCGCAACAAAGGTAAAATTGTTTATTTATGTGTTTTGGGTGATAGTTTGGACGGTGGTGGAATGGGACAATGTCGGGCTGGCCACGCGAGCTCGACCAGGCAACCCACCTGCCTGAGAACTGAGGAGGTTTCCTCAGGAATGGAAAAACCCAACCACCGTGGAAGCTGAAGGGTCTTCCATAAGAATGGAGGCCCTGAATCACCTTTTGGGATTCTGATTCACCATTCGAGAAGCTGAAAAGTCTTCATCGAAAATGAAAATTCGATTTTCCAAACAGAGAGTTAAAAGATTTTTCAGGTAAGCATCCTGATAATTTCAAGTATTCCATTTGGTGGTCGTTGAAACCCGTGATTTAATTTAGTTAATTTTTAGTATTTTGAAGTTTTTAATTAATTTATATCGTGTGTACAGAGAGTTCGGACATTCAGAAAAATTCAAAAAGCCATGTAGGAGTGTAAATATTTCGAAATCTAAATTGGGTTTGAATTTCAAAAATTACATTCATTTCATAAAAATTATGAAGTTTGAAATTTGAACGGACATTGACTAAATTTTCGATGAAAAATATAATTTAAATTATGATCAGTAAACCTAAGCAATTGGAATCCTATGAGAAAACGAAACTAGAAAACAGATTCAATGGATTGAGAGTTATTTGAACTAATGTGAAATTAAAAATCAAGAAAATTCCTAATTAAGTAAAAAATTAATAAAATAAAATAAAATAAAATAAAAAGGTAAAAATAGAAAGGAAAAGAAATAATTGAAGTTGTGAAATGATTAATTAAATAAAATTTAGAGAAAAACAGAATAAAAGGTAAGTAGATCAGAATTTTGGAATGAGATGATAGGAGTGAATAGGGTAGAGACCCTAAATACCTTCTTGTTTAGTCTGAATCGAGGAGGAAAGTGTGTGTGTGTGGCTAAAGTTCAGCGAGTATGATAAACCTACATATGGATAGAGTTTGAAATCTAATTAGATGTGGATAGGTATTTGTAAGTGTGGGTCACCTAATAAACATACTTGTTATGGCCATTGTAAGATTTGTATGTGTGTGCTATCCATACAATGAAAGGATTCATTTCGCATTTCCTCGATGATGATATAAATAATATCGCATGATGAAACCATATAAATGACATTTTAAGTGTATCTGTGATCTTTTGTGTGTGTGATGATTATGTCTCAAAATGATGATTGATATTCAAGTGCATTTATGACTTTCGAGAGTATGAGAATATACATTCGAGATTTGTTTATGATATTCAAGAGAATTTAAAAGATCGATCAGAAACATGTGAAATAGTGAAAATAAGAAGCATTGAAAATTTTTTTATTACTTTTATTTCTTACTGTGTTTTGCATGAAATTTTATTTAGGTTGAAAGAACGAGAATATTTATTGAGTTTGTAAATCTCATTAAATTTCAACATAATATTTTTTAGAGGAGAATGAAGAGCCAGCACCACTGACAGACGAATAGAACTTGTAAAAAGGTTCTTATTTTTGTATATTCGAAAAATTTTATTTTATTCTGTTAGATTCTAAATTCTGATATCATGTTTTGTATATATAAGTAGTGTACATATCACATGAGATTGTAGGTTGTATTATATTTTTTGATCTATGCATATATATATTTTATAGGTCCACTGCATGAAAATGACATGAGTAGGAATTGCGATTCATATCGAGTATAGGTGCGTGATACATGCATTTAAACATTTATTGAGACAACCACAACTCTTAAACTTTTAAATATATTAATCATAATTAACTTTAATTCATAAATTATAATTAAATTTAATGCATAAACCACTTATAAATACTAAAAAAATATATTAGTTATTATATTCATGATTTATATTTAACTTAACTTTCTAATAAGATACAAAGTCTTGACATGTCAAAATTTACAATTTGTTATTTTAAGTAAAGACTTCAATAAAAAAAATTTATATAGTTTATAAAAAAAAAAGATGGTCATACTTGTTAAGGGGTTTGAAGTAGTTGATTCTCGTAAAGTTTCTAGGTTTAGTTGATAGGTTATTTTAGAAAAATTCTGAAATACTCTAAGTATAAGTGAGTTAGGATGTCATAATAGATATAATGAATGACAATCTTATTACAACTCATTCTCACTTTTACCATTATCATATTTCGTTTTTTATACGTGATTATATAGTTATTATTATAAAAACCAAAGGTATATATATTGTACTAGAAGATTTCTAGTGACAACTACGACCTTTAAATGTTCAAATATATAAACCACAATTAAATTTAATTCATGAACTACAATCAAGTGTAATATATGAACCACTTAGAAGAAGTAAAGAAAACATATTAATTATTATATTCATAATATGCATTTAATTTAATTTTCTAACAAAATAATGAGTCTATATCTATTAAAATTTGTAAATTATTATTTTCAACAAAAACTTCAATAAAGAAGATTTATACAATTTATCGAGAAAAAAAAAGATGGTTATAACTTGATAAAAGATTTGAAGTAGTTGATTTTAATAAAACTTTTAGGTTTAGTTAATGAGTTATTTTGAAAAAAATTCTGAAGTACTGTAAATATAAGTGAGTTAGAATGTCACAATAAATATCAAAGTGATACACTTTAAACTTTGTTTCATAATTTTTTTATTTTTTTCAATTTGAAGTTTCAAATGAATCAATCACATTTATTTGTTTGTTATATTAAATATTTAATAATGACCACAAAGTTAGTAGGAAATTGAGAAAGGTGGTCTGGCCGTGGGATTCTTCTCTTCTTGTTTCCAGAATTCTTAGTTATACTGAACTTTGTGATTTCAATAAATCTAATATATATATATATATATATATATATATTCACTATTGAGGCAAGGAAGTTTTCCCAATGATGAAATGTAGTTTATTGGTTGATGAAAGTAGAAGCTTCAATTAATGCACGAATTAACTGGAGATCAGTCCTCAATAAAAGCAAAAGGTGACAAAGAACAAAAACAAAAACATTCTTCAGTTATTTATGGGTTCATCTTTTCCTCCACTTTTCCATGAGGTGATTTCAAGTCCCGAAGCCGCTTCTCCTTCGAAAGTTTCTCCGCCACACTGCCACAACATTCAAATGAGTAAATATTTAAATTAAGAAATTAAAATGCATGCAAATGAGTCATGATATGTATATATATCCTGCATTCGGACTGCAAAAGTATCATATATAAAATTATCCATTCATGGAATATATATATATATATATATATCATTATTTAAAAAGTACATTTGTTAAAATAAAAAACCTGATTAGTTCCTCCTCGTTGGTCTTCTGCTTAACAGGCTCAAAGCGACCAGTCTCCCAATTCACCCTTGAAACTTGTTTCTTCAACAATTCCTCTCCAACTCTTACAAGATTCTCCAAATTGGCTTTCGTTGCAGTATCCACGGAGCACAACTCGCCTACCAGCGTATCATCCTGATTCATGTGATCGATTTCAAAATATGATTTTTTATCTATTCAACCGTGAAATTATATATTACACAGCAAGGTGCTATGTAGCTATATATATACTTTTTTATGTTAGATACAAACATGTATATATACCTGAATACGAAGATAGTTATCATCACATTTAAGGGCTTTAAAGACAGCGGAAAGGTAGAAATCAACCATATCACCGCTGGCATCGGTAAACGCATCGATCAACGGAGAGGAGTCGTCAGCTGCCAACCATCCCAATACTCCCCACTTAGCTGCGTTTTGAGCACTGTACTTCTCTTCACATTTATGCGAACCAGTCCCCAGCGACACCACCAGAAATCGCGTGTAATCGTTTGCTCTTATACTGACAAATTCCTGGCTCCCTCGGGTGATTTCTTTTGTCACCTCACCAATGGCAACGAGAGCCTAAAAAACCAGAAAACAGTTCTTAATTCATCGATTTTCACCACAGACATAAGATACATACACATAGAGAGAAGTAGATCATATTACTGGATTGTTAGCAGCTACACCTCCATCAATGAGATGGAATTCTTTTGATGTGCCCACAAAGTCTTTGGTCTCAAAATGATGAGCTGGGAGATAAGTTGGGGCAGCAGAAGTTCCCAGACATATATCCGACAGAAGAGCATCTACCTGTCGGTTCTTTTTCTCCTAAAGTGTTACATAAAATCACCATTGTTACTCACAATCAATTCTTTCACATGCGCCTATAAGTAAAAAGGACCAAAAAATATATATTGAGGATCAATCCACCTCGTACGAGGAGAAGATGATTGGCTGAAGGTTCTTGATGTCGAAAGTTGGTATGACAACATTTGTCAGAGTCTGGTGCAATCGTGTTTCGCCTAACTTTTCCTTGGCAAGTTTGTGTAAGTACCTGCCGTTGTATCTTGGACTTGATAGAGACTTGACCAACTTTAAAGCAGCTGAAAATGGGCAACTGCATGTGAAACGAAGAAGAGGAGAAAATACGTGCACATATCATCAGTTGTCCGTAGTGGCAGATAATATCCATAAGGAAGGATTTGACGGCGGTGATCCAGATAGAAGAAAAGGATTAAGGATATATTACCAGTTTTGGGGGAAGATTTTAGGACAATGATGAAGATAGAAGTCTTTAATATCCTTGGCCGCAAACAGAGGTCGGTTTTGGTCATCTGGAGCAGTTAGCATGGCAGTCACTAACCCACCAGTGCTAGTGCCTGCAATCACATCGAAGTAATCTGCAAGTCTTGCTTCCTCGCCATCTAGCTTCTGCGTGCATCGGTAGCAAAACTATTTCTTCATTAATATCCATATATCATTTATAACCTAGGAGTTTGCTAGGAGTAGTTTATATGTCTATCATATATGTATGTGTCAGAATAGCGTGAGTCCACGACTAAACACACGAACATACACTCATATAGCTCATATATGTGTGAAACCGGATTCATACGGAAAGGCTTTAGAAATAATACCTGTAACTGAGACTCCAGGAAAGCAAGGACGATTCCTGGGATAATCCCTCTAATCCCACCACCGTCGATGCTAAGGACTGTGATTACGTTTCTGAAAGTTGAAGGCTGTAATGGTGTTCTTGGAGTTTCCATCATAGAATTAAATGGTAGTAACAATGCAGCTGAGTACGTAGGTACAGAGAGTCAAGTTTACAGTACATGAGTCTTTTGGTAACTTGAACACTTCCGCAAGAAATCAATGGTATTTATGGACAGTACTTTTCACCATTTTCCATTTTCAACTTTTACCCAGTGTTTATCTTAATAGTATTTAAGGAAAACAAAGGGCTTCTTTGTTTTTTTGGTTACAAAGGGGAAGAAAAAGGAAACAACACAGAAACAAGACGACAAAGTACAACACATTTTACGCCAAAATGATGCTCAGTCCACAGTGGGGTGATGTATCTGATAAAAGGGCTTCCTCTTTTATTTCTCTATCATCATCATTAAAGGGACCATTATTAATTTTTTTATTCTCTCTCTCCTCACGTGGACACCAAAGCTAGTTTTATTCTCGGTACATTATTTTCCACTTTTTTTAAAAAAAAAAATTCAAGAGAAAGTAATTAAAGAAGTGAAAGAAAACAATCATATATTAGTATTATACAGTTTCAGTAAGAAAATATTAAAAATATCCTAACGGAGAATGCTTAAGAGTATAGGAAGGGTTGCAATAAAGAGTGACCCCCATGAGTTCGTCATAAGTCAGGTTCGTTAAATAGTCAACATCTTTGTTGCTCTCCCAATATATATGTTTGTAACATAACAATCCAGTTTTTCATGAGTAAAGTCCTAATTGCAAGTAAAAGGTTAGAATTTGCATTTGTGGCAACAATCTCATTAATGATCATCTTATTTAAAAGTTAAACAACAAGAGTACTATCCATCTCTAAGATAACACGGCATGATCCGAGGTTTCAAGCAAGCTCGAGCCCCTCTAAGACACCCTAAAGCTTCGCTTGGAGAACAGAGCAAGACCCAATTTTTTAGACTCGGTCACCGAGCCAATGTGCAACACTATCCTAACCCAATGCACCAACACACGCAAAGTCATTGTTATCACGAAGGGCCCCATCAGTGTTGATCTTGATCCAGTCCAGGGGGCAAATGCCAACTGACTAACCTCTCCTTCTTCTGGCTATGGCGGTCTAACAAATTGGATCTGAAACTGGAGACTTGAAATGTATACTTTGTCATCCTGAAAATTTCTTGTCTCAGCTCATCCATACTGAGCATTTAACCATTAAAGACTAGGGCGTTCTATTGCTTCCATAATAACCAGCAGGTGATACCAAAAATTGTCCTCCAGTCATGAAATGAATGACATTAACCGTATTGATTCTGTAAGTTGGTGCAGAGCCAATCGCCAAAAGTCATGCTGAATAAGTGTCAGTAATTATATGATAAGCAGTTTTGACAGAAAATTTATCATCCGAGGAGAAGCTCCAGTAGGGTACATCAGCCCCTTAACCCTCATGCAGAACCCTCATTATGGCCAGTTACAAAAGGATCTTGGCTGGGAGCCTGTTCTGTAACCAGTGCCAATTGCACTGACCATGTTAAGTGAACAGATCCTGAACCGTTTGAGCTTTATTAGAATTATTAAGGGATTAGTAGGCAAGGAGCTTAAGTGGCTCGCAACCCCCCAACTAATTATCCTCCCAGAACTGCACCGTCATGCCATCCCCAATGTGTCAAACCAACCCTAAGCGAACATCATTCCAAAGGCCACTTAACTTCTTCTAAAGATGGAAGCACATACTAGAATATTTGGTTTTATTATCCAGAAGATCCCACTTATATTTATGTCGCAGAACCTTAACCCAAATGAGTGCGGCTGAGCGATAATATTAAAGCAAACTTTCATAAGGAAAGCTTTATTGAGATTCCTAAGGTTCAAGATACCACTGCCCCCATGCATGATAGGCTGTCACATATCATGCCAGTTAACGAGACTCCTCTTCCTCGCACCGCTGGAGGAGCCCTAAATGAAGTCCCCCACTAACCGATTAATCTGATGACACAGAAAACTGAGGAGTGCGGTAATCTGCATGGCGTAGGCCGGGATCGCCATGAGCATAGATTTGGGATGGTATGCCTGCTAGCCATAGACAAGCTGGTAGCCTTCCACCCAGAAAGCCTCCTACGTACATTGTTCAGAATATACCTGTAAGTATCTTTAGTATCTCAACCATGCAGGAGAGGAGCCCCCAAATACGTACCCAGGTTATTAGAAACTTAGAACCCAAAAGTAGAACTAATACGAGATACTTCCCCATCAGCAATGTTGTGAGAGAAAAAAATGTGCGTTTTGGACATGCTGATATTGTGTCCGGAGCTCCAGCAGAACTCATCAAGCACCCTCTTGATAGGTTGCACCTGACTACTAGAAGCCTCACTAAATAGGATCATGTCATCAGCAAAGAAGATGTTCGAAAGTTGTGGCTTCCCCACGCTCAAAGTAATCAGGTGCCAATCACCATGACAGATTAAATGGCGATGTATTAAGACAAATACTCTATGAACAAAACAAAGATATGCGGCGAGAGACGGTCATCCTACCAGATGCCTCACGAAGGAGTGAACTCCTTTGTGGCCACACCATTCCAGAGGAGTTGCATGGAGCTAGAGCTGATGCAATACATGATGGTCTGAATCATGTTATGGGGGAGGTTGGCATCGCGGAGAGTTTCTTCAATGAACCCCCAGCTGAGCCTGTCGCAAGCCTTCTTTAGGTCCACTTTAATCGTCATCCAACCTGTCTTGTCTTTTTTGTGTCTCATTGAATGAATAATCTCCTGGGCCATGATAATATTATCTGCTATGCTTTGACCCTCAACAAAATTTGCTTACATTTTGCTAATTAATCTTGGCATAATATTCTTCAGTTTGTTAGCAATGACCTTGGTGATAATTTTATACGAGATATTAAGTAGACTTATGGACTGGGAATCTTTTATAGACTTGAGGTTATCCATTTTAGGGATAAGAGTAATTAGGGTTTTATTCTGGCTAGGCTCCAACTTGCCTCCTTGAAAGATTCTAGTAGCCATAGCACATACCGAATCGCTAACAACATCCCAGTAGTGCTGAAAGAAAACAACATGCAAACTATTCGGCCCAGGCTCCTTTGAGGGGTTTCATGTCAAATAGAGCCACCCGGATCTCCTCCTGAGTGACAGGCCTACTCAGGGCAGTGACAATGTCGGAACTAAGAATGGGGAATCTATCCCGGATAGTGAAAGCAAGCCTATCAGGCTCCTCCTCGCAATATAGGGTACAAAGGAATTCAGTGGCCATACAGCTAAGCCGACTCTCATCCGAGATCCAATTTCCGTTCTCGTCTTGGAGTATAATAATCCTATTGCGTCAGTGCCTAGCCATCGTATGCGCATGGTAATAGACAGTGTTCTTATCCCCTAGAGATATGAACTCACACATCGATTTCTGCATCTAATAGATTTCTTCTTATAAGATGAACACCCCGAGCTCATGATAGAGAGATGCCTCAAGCCTATTCAGATACTCATTGATAGAAAATACCCACGATTTGTATATTTTTGTGACAAATTATATACAACTTGAAAGCTCTTGATGAAAGCTTTCCATTTTCATAGCCAATGAAAATATATTGTGAGAAAAAAAAAATTAATTTGAAAACAGTAAATTACATATTTCTTGCATGATTTTTGTCTAATTTTTGAAATCGCAAAAAAATATTCCAACCTTTTTTAAGGTTATATGTCTGAATTTGTTAAATCTTGAGACAAACTTTTAGATGATATCAAGACTGTTTTCAAGTTCATTATGAATTTGGCAGCCCTTGAAGCGTGTTTTGGGCATTTTGATGTGCTAGTTTTCCAGCCTTTTGATTTTTTAGTTCATTAAATTCTGCATATGCTAAGCATGTCAGCCTACTCATTTTGGGTTTTTTTTTTTTTTTTTTTTTTTTTTTTTTTGTTTTCCCTTTGTTTCTGAATCCTTATGGATATGGGTGCTTTTTTATACTCACTGTTTATTATTTATAAGTATGAAATCTTTTTAAAAAATGACAAAAGATTTATTGGAAGTAGACTTGAGAGTCCAATACAAAAATGCCCATAAGCAAGAGAGAGCAGCCATTAGCCCAACAGACATGGAGTCAGAAAAAACCAAGTGAGACCACTGCAGTTTCAGAGTGAAAGATTAGCAGCAGCATGAGCCGGAACTAAGGCCAGGAAACATATGCAGAGGCCAAAAATAAACCATCACATGAGGCCTAATTTTTTGAGAAATCAACAGTACGATCTCCGACCCTTAGAACACGAGCATCCGGTTGTAACTATTCGAGAAAATGCTAAGAGTAAAAGTCAGATGATCAACAACAATGTAAGACTTATCCTTTGATTAGAAATGTCTCTGTTCATAAACATTCACCTCAAGAAGGTTGGTCTTCTGCAACTCCTCAAAAAATACCTCCTTCATTAACCCATATTCACTTAAGCCCAAGAAGTTTTGGATGCATCAATTTCCTAAACCATATATATATATATATATAGCTATTATTAAATTAAAATTGATTTTCATAAAATATTAAATTAAAAACTTTTTTTAAAATTATAAACATCATTATTTAAATAAAATAAAATGATTTACGAGGTTCGCATATTTGGGAGAAAATTCCATTCTATAGACAAATCTTACCATCTATCAACTCGTTTTCCTTCCTTCCCGACCAACTCAGGAATTTTCCTCCCGCCAGACTCGCCCGTTTCTCAACAAAGAAGACGAAACAGGAAAAACGGAACACAAAATCGAACACCAAAGATATGCTTCGTCTCTGTTTTACACCCCGCCGATATTCTAAGCATAATCTTCTTCGACGCTCTTTCTCGTCCAAAAACTCTGTTCAGACCTTGCACAATCTCAATAATTCCCACTCTGTATCACCACAACCACCGACATGCCCTCCAATCCCGCAAAACCATCTCTACCCTCAACCCCCAACCACCACCGCTACCACTTCCTTTCTTTCACGAAATTCCGTCTTTCTCTTCTCCGCCACGATCTTCTCTGCTCTGTTTGCCACCTTTACTTTCCTCCCTCCCGATAAGCCACCGCAGAATGATCGCCCCGACAGTAACCCTAATTTTAACCCTATTTCAACCGCCATTAGCCACACAATATATAAATCAAACGATTCCTTCCAGAGAATTCTTCATCACGTGAAGCAGACGGGACTTGCTGCCTCCGTTCTATGGCAATCGCTGAGGTCAGTCTTGTCGTCGGCTAACCAAGAAGTCCGGTCTGGTTTTGAGCTGCGAGTGGCGGCACTTCTTGCCGATATTGCGGCTGCAAATGCAGCGCGCCGGGCAGCGATCGTTCGGGCGGGTGGTGGGGCCGTGGTCGATTGGCTACTTGAGACAGTTGCGGTTCTTGGGGATGGATGTGGAACCCAGGCAGAGGCGGCCAGGGCGCTTGCCTACCTGATTGCGGATCCTATCGTCTCCAAGGATGTGCTTGGGAGGCCCCACGCTGTGCCCAATTTGTTGAGGTTTATTTTTTCATGTCAACCCAATAAAAAGAAGGTGACTTTTAGTGCTTACAATAAACTTTTCTCTTTGGTGATTATCTTAATTTATATGATATATTTTTTTAAAATTCAGCTTCATGACATTTGGTTCATAGGAAGATAGTTTTATTCAATTGACCTTGTTGTTTTGTTTGATCTTGCCAAGCCTGGCCCGGATTGTAAAGCTGTAACAGTAGCTAGCAATGAAGAGCTGTCTAGATATTCTCGTCTTAAGTAAGAAAATGAGAACATTCGTAGGGTTTGTTTACATTAACACACATCACCAATTAGTTAGCAAATTTAATATCAAAGCACAAGTGCCAGATGAGTTTCCGGGATTTCATATTCAACGTAGGATGTGAAGTTTGTCAAGTTATGCATAGAAAGGCGCACTCATGCGTGTTCATCTATATAAGTGGAATTAATTTTCTTGTTCTCTTTGTGAAAAGTAACGTGTCATTGTGAAAAATGAGCTTGGTTTTTCAGCCATAAATATTGATATACTATTTGAACATATCATATGTTAGACACAATAGATATGACGTGTGTTTTCTTATCATTAATTCATCAGTCTGGTTTTTTTAATGTCTTGGTTAAGGTTCTTCAAAAGTTCTCTTTCTGACTTAATGATGCTTCTGAGTTGTGTTTTATCATTGATATATAGCTTTTCTGTGGGAGCAGCACTCAAGACGTAGTTCACTCGATGTTTCTGATTCTTTGAAAGGTAGGAGCATGCTTGTGGCTGCCATTATGGATATTGTGACTTCAAATTTTGAAAGCTCGGAGAAGTTTTCCTTTAACTCATTATTGCCAGAAAACGCTGAGATGGGGGACATTGCATCTGCCATTGAAGTCATTGAGGAAGGCGGTATGCATTTAGATGAGCCACATAATAATGAAGACGATGATGATGGTGGAAGCGGAATCAGAGGGATTGGGATTAAAATTCTTGAAGGCACAACAGTCATAGGTCTTTCAAGAACTAGTGGCTTTATGGAATTGGGTGACTCTGATGCTGGTCTTGTAGAGCATACTCCTAAAACCGTTTCTTTGCTGAGCAAACATGATCCCTCACTATCACGAAGAAATTTGTCATCTGCTGTTGTTCCTGGTCTTTGGGATGATTTGCATTGCCAACATGTTGCAGTGCCATTTGCTACATGGGCATTGGCAAATTGGGCAATGGCATCAACCACCAATAGATCTCATATTCAGGAACTGGATAAAGATGGATATGCTGTAATGACTGCTTTAGTGGCACCTGAGAGATCTGTTAAATGGCACGGAAGTTTGGTTGCTAGATTGCTGCTGGAGGATCGCAATCTTCCTTTGAGTGATTCAGTTTCTGATTGGAGTTCCATTCTTCTTTCTACTGTGTCTCATGCAAGCAAAAATGAGGACTTCTCTTTGGCACAAGCTGCTTTGTCTGCCTTTTTAATTGCCGTTGATAGAAGTGCTGAGGCACAGAAGATGGTAATGGAGAAGGGTCTTCATCTGATGAGGGACATTGCTAAGCAGACGACAAAGCATAAGCATTTGCAAGAGGCATTGGCGAAGGCTTTAGAATTCCTTTGTACTGGAAACATGCATTTATCTCTTGAAGAAGGTCAGAAATGGTCTGGCATACTGCTTCCTTGGGTTTTTGGAAAACATTCATCCTACACCATCCAATGTTCAGCCATACGAATTCTTTCATGCATTCTAGAAGACTATGGACCATCTGCTGTTCCAATTTCTCAAGGATGGTTAGCTATTCTTTTGAATGAAAGTCTACATTCTAGTAATGCATCTTCTGTTAAAAGTGAAATAGCTAAGGTTTGTTGATGCCCATAGCTACTGCTTTTAGTATCGTGATATGATATTGTTGCAAATAGAAACTTTATTTCGGTCCTAGTAATTCTAGTTGATGGTTTCTTGTAGCGTTAGAATGCATCTTTTCAGTTTGGAGTCTCCAGAAATTGCTAAGTTGATTAAACTAGGTTGAACTCTGACTGAACTGTCAAAATTCTTTTTGATACAGACTGCAAATCAGTTAGCAGGTGCTGTTGTTAATCTAGCTGCAGCTCAGTTGGGGACCACCACTGATTCAGTTGATACATTCCCACTGGCAGATCTTCTTTATCTGGAACCCTTTTCAGTACCATTTAAGAATCTGAAGAAAGTTACTTCCCTGAAATTTGATGTTGCTGATTCCGCATTAGCAACACTTAAGGGAATCAAAGCACTTACTGAGGTTTGTGCTGAAGATTCTTCATGTCAAAATAGAATAGCTGATTTTGGGGTCCTGTGTTTGCTGCGACGCTTTTTGTTAAGTGATGATTATGAGAAATTGGCTGCAATGGAAGCTTATGATGCTTCTAGAATCCTTGAGACCCAGGGGAGTCCTTCAAATAATCTTGGTGAATCATCTTCCGCAACAAACGATCCATCCAGCATCAGGGTTCCACCTACTGCTCACATACGAAGGCATGCAGCCCGGCTGTTAACTATCCTTTCTGTCCTTCCGAAAGTGCAGAAGGTGATTGTAGCGGATGAAACTTGGTGTAGGTGGCTTGAGGATTGTGCCAATGGGAAGATCCAAGGATGCAGTGACCTTAAAATACAGAGTTATGCCAGGGCTATATTGTTAAATGTGTTTTGCAGTCAAGAGAACAACGGCAACTCTGAAAATGATGGTAATCCAGAGACTGGTACCTCAAATGGAAGCCGTGTTTGTCCTCGCTATGGTGACATGATCTTTTTAATTAATCCGGAACTGCCCCAGTGGAAGTATTTTTTAAAAACAGATCAAGCCAGTTCTCGGAAGAATGGATCTTCTTTGAGTGACGTTGAGTCTGCCAATGGTGAGGAAGCAACCGCCAACACGGCTTCAAGCATTAGTAACTTCTCTAGTCCTGGTGATCTGCCTCAAAGTGCCACCGTTTCTGAGGTTCCTTTACTAGATGTTGTCTTTGTCCATGGTCTGCGTGGTGGGCCTTATAAGACTTGGCGCATATCTGAGGACAAATATTCAACTAAGTCTGGTCTTGTGGAGAAGATTGATCAGGAAGCTGGAAAGCTAGGGACATTTTGGCCTGGTGAATGGCTTTCAGGTGACCTGCCTCAAGCTCGCCTTTTCACACTAAAATATAAGGTATTTTTGAAGTACGATATTTTGGAAAGTTCTTGACTATGAACTACCATTCTGAAGCAGCTGGCTTTTTCATGTAGCTCTCTTAATTGCTTGATAGACATGGGGGTGTTCTGTTATGTGATGGTCTTTTGGCAAGATCCCTAACTTCCTTCCATGTTTAATTGAATGTTTGATGCAGACAAATCTAACACAATGGTCCGGAGCTACACTGCCTCTTCAGGTTCGTTGTTTATGGCTGATATACTCCCCTGCATACAGCATAAATGGCAGCTTTTGATAACTTCCTGGATTTCAATTTTGCTGTATTCTCATTACTTGTACTATACTTATGAGTTTAATGATTCAAGCTGACCTCAAATTTAGAGTTTCGACTGTTTACCAAGTGTTGGACTCTTTTTAAGGTTCTGGTCGGCAAACATGTTAAATTACTATTAGAAATTCTAGTTCTTGCTGGCGACAGAGGAGGTCTAATGGATTAGTTAAAAAAAATAGTGCTATTTTTGTTTAGTCGCATGGATTTATCCTTGTATCAACATTTATGCCAATACTTTCACTTCAAGCTTATTACTCTTTGCTTCCTTTTGAAATTTCCCATAAGGTTTAATATGCTAATTTCATGTTTATGATGTGCAGGAAGTCAGCTCCATGTTGTTAGGACAGCTTGTAGCTGCTGGCATTGGGAATCGACCTGTTGTCTTTGTTACTCACAGGTTTGTGATCCGCTGTAAGAATGATGAACAGCACATGAATTTACTAGGTTCTTACATTTTTATGATCATAATACCTTTTTTTTTCTTTGTTAAAATATAATGCTTGGTTATTAGAAGTCATGTTGACATGAGTGGGTTGCTTGACTATGAACAGTAGCTGCTGCAGGGTTATAGGTTTTCCAAGAAACTAAACTATGGTTCTTTTCTTGAAGCTCATCTGATTTACTTGCTCTCTTTTGCAGCATGGGAGGCCTTGTTGTCAAGCAGATTCTGCACAAAGCAAAGGCAGAAAAAATTGATAACCTAGTGAACAACACAATTGGACTTGTATGTGTCAATGGATACATTTGCAATTCCTTTTACTCTTGTTTTGTTTGTTCTGCATATTGATGCATTTACTGCCCCCCCCTGATAACTCATCTTTTTGATATAGAACAAATAGGATTGTTTTGTTCGACTAGGATATGAGAATAAAAAACTTGTACATCACACCTAGGGTCTCTTAAATATCACATCTAAGAAATCTTAGCATCATATTTAAGAGTTTGATTGCGTCACACAACTAAAATATTGAGAAACTATCAAAATATTATTGAATAACTTGAATCTCTCCACTAAGTAAAATCACAAACTATTTATAATAATCTTTAAACATCTTTTTCTGAATAGCATTAAAATAGGAAATAGTAAACTGATAGAATTAGGAATATTAATTCTAATTAGAATAAGAAACTAATACTAGTAATGTTATGAATGCTAATAAAAATACGACTTTTAGAGTTTTAATTATAATAGATTTCTAATTAATATAGTTGTTTTACATTTAATATAACTACAATTTTTAATTTATTTAGGAAATCTTGTGTTAACCCATTCTACATCATTCTCTTCTGATTGAAGAAAATTCGTCCACAAGTTTTGAAGTGGCAAATGATATAAAACCTTGACCGTGGAGTTTTCTCATGTAAATTTAGCAAGCTTTGTGTTTGATTGTTCTCGCCTAAATAATGGAAAGACGTAATTGTTTACGAGTGTTAAATCTCGATGGGGATTATGAAGTCAACATGTTAACCACTTAATTTGTCAAATTATTTGTTGCTTAGAACTTTCATAGAGTTGACTCTTAGGGAGAGATATTGAGTAATAGGAAGACGTAATGATTCTTCTTGCCCGTCCATAGGATTGACTCTTGGATAAAGATCTTGAGCAGCAGGAAGACATAGTGATTCTTCTTGCTCTTCCATTTTGGAGCACGGAGATATGCACCTTAACAAAAGAGAGGTACTTACTTGTGCATTAGGAGCTAAATCATCATCCTCATAGGATACATAAGCATCATCTCTTTCTTGCACCTCCTCTTTTTTTTTCTTATGTTCCAATATGCAAGTTATTCTTAATTCATTTGTCCACTTTGTCCACACCTAAAGCACACAACTCTTTGCTTCAGGAGTTTTGAAATTTGATGTTGATCAACTCATTTTTGGATTTTATAATATCTTTCGGAGTGGATTCCATCTTGATATTTGGTATTTCAAAATATTCTTCCATGTCAAGGGCCGCTTGATAAGTTTATGCTATAGTTACAAGAAGTTGTCGCATTAACTCTCTATTAATATCAACTCTTAGTCCTGTCTTGAATTAAGATGTTTGACTATTATCTTTAACTAGTTGACTCTGAATCGTTAATTCTTCAAATTTTTGTGTGTACTCAGTTATTGATATGTTGTTCAGAACTAAAGTATAAGCTTGATCACGAAGTTTGTCAAAGTAGTTGGGAGATAGGTACTTTTTACAAAGAATAGTTTTCATCTCATCCCATGTTTCGATGTTGGTTTCCTTTTCGTTATATTTTCATCGATGGTGTACCACCATATTTTTGTAAGTCTAACCAACTTCATCTCCGCAATCGAACTCTTTGAGCATCTAACATGTTATACCAGTTGAAGTATTCTTCCATTGAATTCAGCCAATCAAGGAAAAAAACCAGGGTCTCTTCTTCCATCGAAATCAGGAGTTTCGATCTTTACCCTTGGTCATATCTTCAGTATTATCTTCAATGTGTCTTCTATTGGCAGCTTGTTCAAGTTGTACATTTTGAATTGATGGAGATACTTGTATTGTGCTTAAGTGTCTCAATTCTTTCAAGATTGCTTCGATGGTGTTTTGCAGTGGTTCCAATATGGTATTAGTGGTTGCTTCATGTGTCTAAAATTAGTCACCACTATTGAAATTTAATTTCTCCTTGAAAAAATGTGGTTGAACTGGGAAATCATCGAAGAAGCCAAAACAGAACAGATTGTATAACATTTACTCATGATGGGCTGCACGTGGGCTTCATGTGCTGGCTTCCGATCACCAAACAGTAGTGGTCATCTGACAGGCAGCTCAACTAGAGGTGCTGATCTCATATTGGAGGTATTTGTAGAATGCGACAGTACAGAAGTCCAGATTCACAAGAGGCAGCGATTGTGGGAGTTTGTGCCAACGAGTGTGGAGGTTTCTGAAGGATTTTTGTGGGGGGCTTCGGGTTCAGCTAATCGGTCCCTTCTGAAGCTAATGGTGATAGAGGTGTTGACATCAGGTGGCTGGTGAACGATGCTGGCCGTTGTTTTAGGGTTTTTTATTTTTTTCTTCCAGATTGCTTTGAGGCTGTTTGGATATAGGGTTATGAAAATTTAGATGTAGGATTCTTTTAACTCTGATATTTAATTGATGTACGACAAATAGAATTTATTTGTCCGATTAGGGGTCTGGGAATAACAAACTTAAATATCACATCTAAAAAATCTTAAATATCATATTTAAAAGTTTGATTGCATCACACAACTAGAAAATTAAAACTCTCAAAATATTATTGAATTACTTGAATGCATGAGTAAAATTACAGATTATTTATAATAATCTATAAGTAACCTTTACTAACAATTAAAATAAGAATAAAAATTCTGTTAAGAATAAGAAACTAATACTAATGATATTATAAATACTAATAAGAATAGAAATCCTAAATTACTGAAACTATAATAAAACTCCTAAATATTATAACTGTTTTACATTTAATAATATATTTAGAAAATTTAGTGCTAACCCATTCTGCATCACCTTTGAAGTAGTTCATAATGTCAGCTTTCTACTGCAATTCCAGGTATTCTATAGTTGCCCACATTTTGGCAGCAAGCTTGCAGACATGCCTTGGCGAATGGGCCTTGTGTTACGGCCTGCTCCAACTGTTAGTATATACTTTTAGGAACTAAGTTAATATGCCCTTTAATGCCTATCAGTAATTCAGTTATTGTATCTTTTTCATAGATAGGGGAGCTAAGAAGTGGTTCTCCAAAACTAGTAGAACTTAATGACTTCATTCGTCTCCTTCATAAGAAAGGACTGCTTGAAGTCCTCAGTTTCTGTGAGGTACTTATGCACTCTATCTTCATTGCTCTCATCTTTTTTCCCAAGCAAATCTGTCCATATGCATTGCATTATGCCATCATCTTGTTTCTTTAAGTTGAGCTGGCAACATCACCACTTACTACTTGCAGACAAAGGTAACTCCAATTGTTGAAGGCTATGGAGGATGGGCCTTCCGGATGGAAATTGTTCCAATTGAATCTGCATATCCAGGATTTGGTGAACTTGTAGTAAGTATTCCTCTGATAATGGCTTCCCAAATAATTCATGGATTTTCTATGACAAAAGTGGTGCAATTGTTAATCATAGATTCTAGTTATTTCTGCACCATAATGCTGTGTGTGTTTGTATGCACAATTATTGTGTATCTTAACATATAGACAGACACCCAAAACACCCAAAATATGACTCATATGCATATCACATGGATTCAAAAAAGAAGACCAAATATTTGAAATTTTAAGCTACTGTCTTGAGTTTGGATTATTTTCTTTTATTTGTTTTCTTTTTGCTTCTTACCAGTTAGTGTTTTTGATTAAAGCATATATGTATAGTTACACAACACATGTTCTAGTTAAAAGAAAGAAGTTTCTCTGATTTTGTTAGTGTATGATGAAGGGGAGACCCAAGTATTAATGGTGAAGGTGTTATGGTAAAGGAGTTGCAAACATCAACCAATATCAGCATGTACTGGAATTTGCATTATGAATTGGGAGAATACTTGCTAGTAGGGCACCTAATTCCTTAACAGCCTATACTGTTTTAGGTTTCGGTTGGGAGTGGGGAAATCATATTTTAGGATAAAGAATTTGATTGAGTATCGATTGTAATGTATCTTCCTTGACTTGTATGCTCGTCCGGGGAGACGCATTACCTTGTTCTGCTTTCATCTCCACTTCTATTATGTTCTGTTTTCATCTCAATTTCTTATCAACAACATTTCTTTCTGACAAAATTTTGAAACAGGTACTAGAGTCTACAGATCATATAAATTCATGCAAACCACTCAGCCGCTTAGATCCGTCATACACTGAAACATTAGAATTCTTGAGGAGGCTTAAAGCCCAGTATACACATTGAGATGTTCTAATATACCTTTTTTTTGGAAGCTGGTAGAGAAATCTTTACGCCGGAGCATAAACTCCATCTTCAGTTCTTGGGGCCTGCGGACTGGTAATTAACCAATAGAGACGACTTACCAACATCCATCTCTACTGTATTTTCACAACAATTTGTAACAATTTTGTTGTGCCCATTATTTCTTTAGCTGCTTTTCAGCTGTATGTTAATTTCTTTTCCTCATTATTTTTCTTTTTCATTTGCTTACTTGTGTATATAAATAGACAATTGGTTAAGTAGTATTCTAAATGCTGTATATACGATACAAAGCTGAAGTGTCTCCTAGTCCTACTTGCAAGTAAAATCAACTTTGAATTTGAACCATTGGATGCAAAAAAGTATAAATGCAAAAGTGGAGCAGAAAATGTTGAATTCTATAAAAATTGTCTTTAATCTCTTAATGAATGTGCATTTAATTTGAAAATATATATATATATATATATATTCCCCAAAATCTCAAAAGACCTAAAATCCTCTAAATTTTACAACCATTCTCTTAGTCAAATCTCCTAAAATTCTCTTTTTATTTTATGTCTCATAACTTCCTCTCCAGTTAGGAGAATCAACCTTTTTTTTTTTTTTTTTTTTGGGGTTAAATGTGCTTCCAATTTATTTTTTAGTTAAAATTAAGAATATTGGTGTTTAAAAAAAATATTAAAAATTAATTTAAAATAAAAAAATATTTTAAAACTAAATTAAAAATAGGCCAAAATTAGGAGAATAAAATAAATATTTACTCGTGGTCTCATAAACTGCAATAGTTATAAAAGATCACAAAGCAAATTACAATCATTGAATCTCAATTACATCTAATTACGACGACAATGTTGTAACTCACAATCTCAGTGGACCGAGTTAATTAAGCCCAGCAATTGCCACCAGACTTTCAATCCCTAAAAAACCAAAACGAAACTGATAAAACATCTTCTTGCCAAGGGGTTTTATGGTTGCAGAGTGCTTTTGCGTAGCAGCATCATTGCCTGAACTTGCACGATAACAGCGTCAATGGAGTGTATCTTCTCGCTATCTGGTGTGAATCATTCAGCTTCTGGGCTTCATTCCTTTTCATTACATTCCCAATTAAACTCTATAGTTTTAAGCAAAAATATGAACCAGAAGAGAGCGAGAAATAGGCAGCACCTAATCCTGTGCTGCTCTCATTCTTCTCCTTCTGTGATTTCGGCAAGTAGTGTAGCTTCTCCAGTGATACGGAAAAGAAAGAGGTACAGACGACAATACCCAGGGGAGAGCGAGGGCATCACCGAGGAGATGAGGTTTGTCGCAATGAGGCTCCGCAATTTTAATGATAAAAAAGTCGCTGTTGATAATAAGAGTGACAGTGAAGATGAGAATTCTGCCCAGGAAAATGATACTTGGAAACCGAGCATGGAAGGGTTCCTCAATTTCTTGGTCGACAGCAAGCTTGTCTTCCACACGGTGGAGCGGATAGTCGATGAATCCAACGATGTCGCTTGTGAGCTTCTGTAACCTTTCTATTTAAAGTAGCAATTTAAACTGGGCCTCCGTCGCTCCATTTCAAATTTCTTTGAGAGCCTAATCAGTTGGATCGAACCCTCAAATTTAACTAATTTTCTTGGTTTTGGGGTCACAATCTTATTCTTAAACAGACTATTAATGAGTTGATTACTAGTTCTTTGACTTTTTATGTTTAATTTTTTTTTTGTGTTTCTTTACTCTCTTAGCTTGTTGACCAGTGAAACCAACCACAGAATCGCAAAGAAACTTGCTCTAAGTTTGCGTTCATTGAATTTGTAGAATTAGGAAAACTGGGTTCTCAACCAAAACAGAAGAGGAATCCGGGACTGGTCCCCTTTGATGATCTTTTAAATTGAACTGTTGCTTCATAACAATCAAGTGTTTGGATTCACGCAGACGCTTACTTCAGGAAGACTGGATTGGAGAGATCAGAAGGTCTTTCAGCTGATATAGAATGGTTTAGCCAACAGGGCTTTCTGATTCCTGAGCCAAGCAACCCGGGGGTTTCTTATGCCAAGTATCTGGAGGAATTGGCAGAGAGAAGTGCGCCGTTGTTCCTTTCTCATTTTTACAATATATATTTTTCCCATATTGCTGGTGGTCAAGTGATAGCAAGAAAGGTGCGTGTGCATACCATTGTCATTGATTTTCATGCTCCAGTGATGTGACTTGTGAAGTGCGAACTGTCATTAGTAGACTTTTGGCTCTACTAAAACGATGACTTGATTCATAGACTACTGTTGTCGGCAATTTGTTCTATTGACTTGCTAAAAATTTGGAAATCTTACTTTTCCCATAGTTGGCACTTGTATGAAAACAAGATTTTGTGCTCTGTCCATATCTTTTTTTCCTTGATGTGGGAAGAGATGCATATCATATTACCTTAACTTCAACCCTGAGTGAAGGGAAGTTGAGGGATTGGGGTGGAGGGGAGATAAGCTTTCCTATTGATTATAATTTGTGTGTGAATGCTGACATTCATTGAAATTCTTTAACTGTTCCTGGGATTTGAATATAGTTCCATTATACCTGTGAAGTCATGTACTAATAGTAGTGACTTTGTAAACTTTAATTCTATGGAAAGAGGGTAAACAATTGCAAGTAACAAAAATAAGGAGATCTGAATTATCTGACTTTAGCCTAACTCAGTGGAAAATAAGCCATTTCCTTATTGACTTATCCAGGCTTCTTTCGTTATCAATTATTAGGAATCCCATTGCCAGATATGTAATTAGATATAGTTGTTTGTATGTCCGAATGCATGTGCAGTCAAGTACTCTTATCTGGTTTAGTGCCTTCAGGTTTCTGAGGAGCTCTTAGATGGAAGGGAATTAGAATTCTACAGATGGAATGGGGATACACAAGAATTGATGAAAAATGTACGTGAGAAGCTCAACATGCTCGGAGAGGTTGATTCCTTATAGTCTCATAGTTTTCTTCTTTACCTTGTGTTGGATGTTTATTGATACTTTTGTTGTTGGATATTTGTAATGTTGTGATTGCAGCATTGGTCTCGAGATGAGAAAAACAAATGCTTAAAAGAAGCAACTAAGTCATTTAGGTTTTTGGGGCAGATTGTTCGTTTAATCATCTTATGGTGAAGGTAAAGTTCCTTGTTAAGGCTGCATTATACTTCTGCTCTATTAGGATGAGTTCTACATTGGGGTGAACAGCCCCTGATATCAGAAATCAAACACCATAAGGACTTCAGTAGATTGTAACACCCTGGTTATGGACCGGCTGTTCCTGAGGGAGTCTACTCAAATGTTGAAGCTGCAGCTGCATGAGGTTAAGGAGCAATAATACCCGGTTGGGGGCATTCGTTTACCCGAAGACACTGAACATGATGCAGACTTTGTTTTGCAGCTGGAGAGCAAAGGAGGATTGGATTGTTGTGATGCTCATTTGTAGGTTTTTGTTTTTGTTTTTGTTTTTTTATTTTTGCCGAGAATGATGCTTTATAGTCGATTTATGTGAAGCTCTTTCGAAGAGAAAGCTATAATCATAAAATTTCAGAAATCCAGTTCTTTAATTCTCATTTAAATCATGCAATCTTAATTTTGTGAAAAGCTTATAATATCTAGATTAGGATAAATCAGTTTAACAGCTAAAAAATAGCCAATAAATTCATAAAATAGTCGGAAATCTTATTGTTGTTTTGTTCGTATTTTTTTTTTTGTAATTCTATGTTTTTAAAAATTTATAACTTCTTTAATTCTCTTCTAACCAATTCAATCTGTGTGTAATATGAGAAGCATATAAACGTGTAGATTGTAAATAAAGTAATTCGGTAGCCAAAAGTTGACTAGAAAAATAAAACAAGGCTGAAATATTAATATATGATTCTCGTCTGATGCTACAGTACTTAATTTTTAAAAATTCATATCTTTTTTAATTTTAATTCAAATCATACAATTTTGATATTTATAATTAATTTTAACTCAAATTAATAAGAATAAATTAAAGTTTTGGTTAATTGATAATGGTTAAATAAATTATGAGATTTTAACTAAGTGCATTATCTCTCATTTTAGAATATTGATTACTTTTTTTTTTAATGTAAATTATTCGACATCTAATAAACATATATTTCCGGTGTTGATATTTATATTTAAAATATAATCAATTTTTTATTTTTTAATATAATTTAATTACTTTATACTACAAAATAATATAAACTATCTACTAATCAAAATTTTTTGGTATAACATAGAAAATTATATTGCATATTAGAAATAACTTTAATTATTGTAAATTATGTAATGTGAATATATTGGATTGAGTTGCATTAGATATTATGTTCTACTCAATTTTTTTTTCATAGAATACTATAGATCAATGTGACTTTTAACTTTTCAGAGTAGAGACATATCGTAGCACTACTAGATATTAGTGATGTACTTTATTTATTCCTATACGAGGTTTAATGGTAACGATATAATTTCAAATGTACTTTAGGCTAATTTTAAAAATGGGTCTGCTTAACATTATTATAACGTACGTTAAGAACGGCATTATCATTTGAAATATGTATATTCAGATATATACTAAAAATTGGGAAGATTAACAACGTAGTGAAATATATTGTTCTTATAAAATATATTTTGTAGTTTTAAGAAGGAAGACAAACTTTTATTTCGGAGATACCTCATAATCCACATTTAAAAATGTGCTACCTATAAAAGACAACAAAACACAAGTGACACGCTTGAACCACCTTCAACTTTTTGTCTAAAGAATTATACAGTAATAAAATATAAAAATTTTTAGCTAACTTAAAAAATAAAAAGATAAGCTTATTTACCTTAAACAGTGCTCTCTAATATTAAAAACAACCTTCAGGGATCCTATATTAAATTAAACAAAAAGAATATTATTAAGTAAATTATGTTAAATAGAAAAAAAAAATATATAGCAGAAAATAAAACTTATGTCATAAGTGAATGAAAATAAACATTTTATTTTACGAATATCTTACTTGTAAAAGAGAAGAAAATACAAATAACATGAGTGAACTCTCTTTAACTTTTTTACTTAAAATATCTTCATAATAATAATAAAAAAAAAGAAAATTTTAACTAGTTAAAATAAAAACTCATGCTTATTTACCTTAAACAGGGCTCTCTAACACTAAAAACCTTCAGTAGTCCTATATTAAATTAAACAAAAAGAATATTATTAAATAAATAATACTAAATAGACAAAAATATGTAACAAAAATTAAAACTTATACCATAAGTGAACAAAAATAAAATTTTTATTTTACGAATATCTCATAATTGAACACGTGTCCAGCAATGTTACCTGCAAAAGTGAACAAAACACAGATAATAAAAGTGGACTCTTTTTAACTTTTTGCCTAAAGATCATCATAATAATAAAAAATAAAATAAAATTTTAACTAGTTAAAGAAAAATATAATATTGAATACATACTTATTTACCTGATTTCGTTGTTTGAAATCTACGACAACTAAATAAAAATGAGTATATCAATTTATAAATAATAAAAAATTTTCAATATTGTAATTTAAATTAGAAGAGAACCATTAGCAATTAAATGTAACATATGCATAGCTTGACATAAAACAACGGATATCAAAATTTCAAATTTGAAAAAAAAAAAAAACTAAAATCAAGGAGAACAAACATCAAAGGAGGACAATTTTATTGTCTTTTGCATAACATTGAAAATAGCCTTTTGAGTATTGTTATGTTAATGTACACAAAGAAATTCATCAAGCAAACAATGCTAATTTTGATAATTTATAATCATTTCAACTCATACAAATATTAAAAATGACATATTTGTTCTCCGGGTTGATATTTGGTATTTACTTTTTTTTTTTCTTACCAGTTTGTAAAAGTAGTTGTAATTTGTTTATTATACTTTGTCATTATTGTATTTGAGACGTTTGTTTGCTCACAAAGTTGAAGAGTTAACTTGACTTTCGTTTTAATTTACTTGAGTTTGTAATTATATTTGAACGTCAGGGCGTAGTTATTATTGAAATTTACTTATATTAGTTTGTCATAATTTCACTCGAGTTAATTATTTATTTTTTGGTTGTGACTTTCTTGTTTCTTGAGATGATATTTGGCATATTTTGAAAAGTGATGTTAAATATTTTTTTTTGTTTTCACTACTTGAATTTATAATTGTATTTGAGTTTGTTTGTCATTACATTTGAATTTGAAAGCGTAATTGTCATAATTTGTTTGTTTTAGTTTGCCATAATTTCATTAGTGTTAGTTGTCTTTTTATTTCTTTGGAATGGTAAAATATTGAATTGGAACTTACTTCTAGTTTACTTGAATTCCTTGTCGTCCTTAAGTTTGTTTGGAATTATATTCCAATTTTAGTCTCTAATTGTAATTTTCTTGTTTTGGTTGAAATCATATTTCAATTTTAGTGTCTAATTTTAATTTGTTTGTTTTGGTTTGTTTACGTGGTGCAAGTTTTGATTCTTTTTTGTGTTCCGATTTGTTTGGTTTACGAAATTTTAACTTAAATTTGTTGACTGCTGCATTATTTTTATTTACTATAATCACATTTTTACAAATTTATAATTCAACTAAGTTATAGTAGAATAATCTTAAATCTTCTTAAAACCTAATGTGATAGATGATGCAGAAATAGATAACATCGTAACTCTCTCCAACTCTATCAAAAAATTTAAAGAAAAAATAGATTGAGAAAAAACAAAACTAAACAGAAAAATATGAAATAAAAAATAAAGTTTATGTTATAAAAGAAGGAAGACAAACCTTTTATTAAACGAATACCTCATAATTGACATGTCTAAAATAACACTACCTATAAAAGAGAACAAAACACAGGTAATACGATCAGACCATCTTAAAGTTTTTGCCCAAAGTTACATAGTATCAAAATATAAAAATTTTAATTAACTAAAAAAAATAAAAACACATATTTATTTACTTTAAAGAGTGTTATCTAATATTGATAATAATCTCTAGTAGTCCTATCTTAAAGGAAATAAAAAGAATATTATTTAGTAAATAATGCTAATATAAATAAAAATATATAATAGAAAATAAAACTTATGTCATAAGCAAACGAAAATAAATATTTTATTCAGTGAATATCTCATAACTGAATGTCTCCGTCAATATTACCTGCAAAAGAGAACACAGATAACATGGGTGGAATCTTTTTAACTTTTTGTCTAAAGATCTTTAAAATAACAAAAAAAGAAAAATTTAACTAGTTAAAGAAAAAACATAATATTGAACATGTGCTTATTTACTTGATTTTTGGTGTTTGAAATCTACAACAAATAAACAAAAGTGACTATATCAATTTATAAATAACCATGATATTTCTACGTTATAATTCAAATAAGAAGAGAACCATTAAAAATTATATGTAGCATATGCATAGTTTCACATTGAACAACGGATTCAAAAACTTAAAATGCAAAGAAAAAAACTAAAGTCAAGAAGAACAAACATTAAAAGAGGAGCATTTTATTTTCCTGTCATTAACATTAAAAATGACCTTACGCTAATTTTTTCAATTTATAATTATTTAAGCTCATACAAACATTATACTACTTTTCTTGTTCTTCCTAATGTTAAAAATGACATATTCTTTTTGTGGGCTGATATTTGTGGTTTACTCTTTTTGCTCATCGGTTTATTTGTAGTTTTAGTTCATTTGTCGCAATTTGTCATTATCGCGTTTGAGGTGTTTCTTTGTTGAGAAAATTGAAGAGTTAAATGTGATTTTTGTTTTAGCTTACTTGAACTTGTAATTGTATTTGAGTTTATTTGTAAATATATTTGAATTTTTTAGTACATAGTTGTTGAAATTTGTTTTGTTTAATTTGTCGTAATTTCACTCGTAGTTGTGTGTTTATTTGTTTGAAATGATAGATAATTCAATTGGATCTTTTTTTTAGGTTATTTGAATTTTTAGTCGTACTTGAGTGGGTTTGGAATTGTATTCTAATTTCAATTTCTAATTGTAATTTGTTTTTTTGGTATGTTCATATCGAGAATTGGATCTTTTTTTTTAGGTTATTTGAATTTCTAGTCGTACTTGAGTGGGTTGGAATTGTATTCTAATTTTAGTTTCTAATTGTAATTTGTTCTTCTTTTGGTATGTTCATATCGATCTAGTTTGATGTAAGTTTTGATTCTTTCTTGTGTTTAGACTTGTCTGGTTAATGTTTTAGAAAGTTCGAGTTAAATTTATTGACTCCTAAATTATTTCTGTTAAT